TATCTGACAGTGATTAAAATCACTATCAAAAAAAAACGCTTCGATGCAAATCTTTAGATAGTGTTTAATTTTAAAAAATTGGTGGATTATTCCAAAAGCTTCATAAACTGCTAGTTCCTTATTAATATCCTGATTAAGATAAAGTATGTCGAATGAAAAAGGGATTATTAAAAAATAGTATTTCCCATAAAAAAATTATATTGATCAATACACTTTTCAAGTTATAGCTGCATTATAATGTTAAAAATGTAAAAAATAAAATTGAGAATTTTCACACAATAATAGCATTTGGTAGCCATTTTCACCGTGAAGACAAAATAAAGTCCGAAATTTTTTTTTTTCATAATAAAGTAGATTACATTAGCTTTAATTTAATATATATAGAAAAGTGTCAGACTTTCCGGAACACTTTCAAAATTTAAGTTGAAAAAGTCAATTTTTTGTGAAAAAGTTGTCATTTTGAATCCCCCCCTGTAGGCAGGTAAAAAGTCAGATTTATAAAAAAAATATACCAAATGATAGGTAAAGACATCATGCATCTACAAAAAAAAGAATTATATTGATCCATACATCTTTCGAGAAGTTATAGCATTATAAAGTTAAAAATATAAAAAAGAATTTTTTTACAAAAATCGTATTTTTTTTATTAAGTTTAATGTCTGTTTTCACCATGAAGATAAAATAAAGTCCGAAATTTTTTTTTACCATTATAAAGTATATTACATTAGCTTTAATTTAAGATATATATAAAAGTGTCAGACTTTCCGGAACACTTTCAAAAGTTTAGTTGAAAAAGTTCTACTTTCTATATGCATTTTTTAGATTTAAACCCCCCTCGTATATAGGAAAATGGTCCGATTTAAAAAAACATTATGTCGAATGAAAGATGTATATAAATACTACTTCTAATGAAAAAATTGTATTGATCCATACATTTTTCAAAAAGTTATAGCATAATAAAGTTAAAAATGGAAAATACAAAATCGAAAATTTTCACACAAAAATAGCATTTGGTAGCCATTTACACCATGAAGATAAGATAAAGTCCGAAATTTTTTTTTTGCATGATAAAGTATGTTACATTAGCTTTAATTTAATATATATATAAAAGTGTCATACCTTCCGGAACATTTTCAAAATCAAGTTTAAAAAATTAATTTTTAGTGAAAAAGTTGTCATTTTAAATCCCTTCCTGTGGGCAGGTTAAGGGTTAAATTTATGAAAAATACATGTCTGTTACCACTTTTTCTGAGCTCTCACCGAACCGATTTCTTTCAATGATACGTCAAAAGATCACAAATCGTATCTAGTCGAAGAAATTACCCTCAAAAATTAAAAATGTTACCTCGTTTCCCGTAAATGGGAAACCAAAAAAAAAAAAAAAAATACAAATTTAAAAATCGCTAATTTTCGAAATTTTTTCAATTTTTTTTACTAAAAAATGCTATAACTTTTTTAAAAATAACCAAATCAATATAATTTTTTTATATAGATGCATGATATCATTACCTTTCATTTGGTAAATTTTTTTTTTATATGTGACCCTTTACTTGCCAACAGAGGGAGATTTAAAATGACAACTTTTTCACTAAAAATTAATTTTTTCAACTTGATTTTTGAAAATGTTCCGGAAGGTCTGACACTTTTCTATATATATTAAATTAAAGCTAATGTAATCTACTTTATTATGTAAAAAAAAAATTTCGGACTTTATTTTGTCTTCAGGGTGAAATTGGCTACCGAATGCTATTATTGTGTGAAAATTCTCAATTTTATTTTTTACATTTTTAACTTTATAATGCTATAACTTATTGAAAAGTGTATGGATCAATACAATTTTTTTATGAGAAATAATATTTTTTATTAGTCCCTTTTTCATTCGATATACTTTATCTTAATCAGGATATTAATAAGGAACTAGCAGATCATGTAGCTTTTGGAATAATACACCAATTTTTTTAAAATTAAACACTGTCTAAAGATTTGCATAGAATCGTTTTTTTTTTATAGTGATTTTTATCACTGTCAGATATCATTATACTTAATCCAACTATGCCACGTCACCACTGTGCCGCGACCCCCCTGTGCTGGGTTTTTTTTTTATTTATATAATATTTATGAAAATCTGTACTCCCCTTGACAGGTATTTTAAAATAAAATAAAATACAAAACCCAGAATTTTATATTTTTCATCAAAATCGGTTCTGTGAGAACTGAGATTGAGCGTATAGACACACAAAAAAAAAAAAACACATCATAGTAAAATTAATACCTTCTCAGCTTCACATCGAAGCTAAAAATGATGAGCAGTCATGGAAAAACTTTCAGTATCTATGTTAGCAACAATGTTAAATACCTATATGTTTTCGAATTTTTCTGTAAAGTTCTATCACTTTATCAGAAATTTTATTAATTCAAAAGACAAAATTGTAATAAATGGGTAAACTAACCCCTTATATGGATATTTGAATTAGACTTTTTTTTTTCTGAAACAACATATTGGCAAACGTCATACATTATTATAAATATTGAAAAAAAGTATGTAAATATATAAACATTCATTTCTTTATATTTTATTACATATATTTTTAATTTATTGATATTAAGTATAAACTTTTATTTTACATTCAATTTTATACAAAATATCCAAAGTAATATTAATACAAATTTTCAAAATTTATCCATCATTGAAAAATTAGTAATTAAAAATATAGCATAAAGATAATATAATAATACTTACATAAAAGAATGTGTTTTTAAAGTATATTTACACATACAAAAAATAGGAGTTTAGACTTGTATATCAGCACATTAAAAGTCAAATTTTAATACTTAATATTCTGTAGCATTAATTTTAATTAGTTTACATGTAATAATTAATTATTAGCAACAAATAATTTACTTCTGACGTTTTTGGTAGTTAAATGACTATAAAATAAAAAAACAATATTGTTATCTCCATCAATGTAGGAGCTTAAGACTTAGGTAAGTTATTCAGGCGTCTTAATTAATACTGCAATTTATCTGTCCGAGAATGAATATATATTCATTAACTATAAAATTAATAATTAATTAATTAATGTATATATTTGTGTGATGCAAAAAAATCTTCAAAATATTTATTGAATACCTTGTAATTTTATCATAATCATTAAAAAAATTATATACACATTTTCAATTTCCTCAGAAGTCATTTTAAGTAACTAGATCAAAAATATGACAAAAATGCAAAAATGTTTTTTATTATTTAACTTTTTTCAAATTTCATACAAAGTATAACTATGTGATGGTGTCACGTTTTCATAATCATGAGAATTATTTTAATAAAATACAGACAGCACATCCGCTGCCTGAGACTGGTGAATTAACAAATAATATTTATTGCCAAATCGGCAATAGGTGTAATTATTATAAAAACCCAATAGACCTGACCATCGTGGTCAGTCGACTCCAGTGCCTTGTGTCATTCATCAGTCTCAGTACTCGGTTGTCGCTGTCCGGCTTACTGTTTAAAGTAAAGTCTTTGTTTATTCCTTTTCTAACCTATATACTCTTTTCCTCGACATTTCAGAGTATTTGTGTCTTGCACTTCGTCTGCACCTCATACCTAGGTGTTACTCTTATTCTCCCTTCCTATAACAACAGCCTTTCGACACCCACAGCTAACCCGGAGTGTCAGCCGAGCACGGTGACTGCTGTACGACAACACGCACGTGAATACCTAGACAGCAGGCACCACCTCCTCATATTCATCTTCGTACACATAGTTGCACTTTCACACATTTACCCATTTTTACTTTTTACTGTGTTACGACAACTAAATCATTCTATTTTATCTCGTAATATATTTAAAAAAATTGTTTATTTCGGCATTTTCTTCTTTTTTTCCCGCCTTTAGTCCAACTATTTGGGGTCAGCCACCCTTACCCTAAATTTCCACTTGATATAATCTCCCATATCATCTACGCACACATCAACCGTCCTCATATTGCACTCAATAACATCTCTCCATCTCTTTCTTGGTCTTCCTCTATCCCTTATTCTCTTAAGACTTATTTTTATAGCTGTTTTCACAGCTTCCGATTTCTCTATCATCATAACATGACCAAACCAACTAACAAGTAAGTCTATTATCTCTTATATTATTCATGATACACCTACTCTCCTTATATTTTGGTTCCTTATCCTATCTTCTCTAGTCACTCTACTCATCCATCATTGCATTCACATCTATGCTACATTTATTCTCTTCTCTATTCTCAAGTCAACCGTCCAACATTCTGAACCATACATCATAGCTGGTCTCACTACAGTCTTATAGAACTTATCTCTTAGATTCATGGAATTCTCTTATCGCATAACACACCAGACTCTTCTATCCACCTTCTCAAACTTATACCTGTGTTTTACATACTCGTCAATACTACCATTCTTTTGCACAAAAAAACCTAAATATTTAGAAATTTTTACTTCTTTTATCACGTCCTCGCTTATTGTCACTGATCTCCTCATTTCACCTACTTCATGTTCTCTTTTGTTAAACTCGTACTCTATATCTTCTGTCTTATCGCTACTTATTCCTAATCCCTTTCTTTCGAGAGCTGACCTCTGACCTTTAACCACCTCTAACCTTTGTTTAATTTCCTCCTATTAACACTATATTGTCAGCGAGCAACATGCGCCAAGGCATCTCTCCTTGTACTTATCTAGTAATTTTATTTATCACTACAGAAAACAAATAAGGGCTTAAAGCAGAACATTGGTGTATTTCTACTCTGACATATTCAAATATTGTGAAATAATACAATGTTTATTTAAATTTTTTTTGTTGGAATGTTAAAAAACATTTTATTTATTTCAACTTGTAATAAATATTGTCTTTGTTCTTTATCACATGCCAGACAACGAGGGAAAATGGCGGGAAAAATTTACTCCCCAAAATAGTTTGTTTAAGGTTTGATAAGATATGCTAACCTTTATATTCAAGTTATATTTATTAAATTATAATGTTAGGAAGTTAGTTTAAAGTAGAAATTTGATTATAAATAAATTTTTTACTTTTATATAAAATTATATTAATTATATATAGTATATTTAGGTCAATTTACACATTTTTTCTTTATAGGCACAATAATTTATCAGTTTTATAGAAGAAAATTAATATAAATTTAATGAACGTATATCCTATTTTTTCTTTACCTATTACATAATAACCACAAGAAACAAAAATATAATTTATAAAAATAGAATAGAATTGTAAAACGCTTAAAAAAGTCAAATTGAAAACGTATTAGACTACAACTTGACGAAAAGCTTTGTTGAATACAAGTGACAGATATTAAATTATCAACAGACTAATTATGATTGTATAAATAAAAGAATATTAAAAAATAAACAAAAAAAAAAAATTAAATAATTAAGTATAAAATATTTTATAATTGATAAATGGAAATACATATGTCACTAACTGAAGTCAAAAAAATGATTATTTTAAGAGAAATTAAGTGGCTAATATTAAGAAGAATCATCTTGTATCTCCGACTTATATTTCAACGTTTATAATTTTGATACGATGATCATTATTTTGACTTAAAATTAAAACTGTATTAAAAATATTATTAATTTAAAACTAAAAAAAAATTAAAAATGTTAAACTCAAAAACCACTAAAAATTATGGATACGTATTTAGGAAACAATGTTACCATTTTCAACATTAAACATATACTGACACCCCTACTAGAAAAACTCCCTTATATACCCCATGTGACATTATCACTAACAAGTAATATTATCACATTTTCCCAGTTTACACAAGTTTAATTATGTATTATTCAGTGATCCAATATCACAATTAATTAAAGTTTTTATTTTTAAACATTTTTATTGCCTGTCTTATATTAATTTCTGTGTAATTATTAAAGTTTTAAATTAGTTTCATGGTTTTAATTTAGTGATTATGTGTTAATAAATGTTCATTCACCAGAAATTTATCAACTTTTTGATTTCTAATTTTTCTTAAGTGCTCTTTAAACCTAACTCCTCTATTTTTTTTTGTTTCTCCTACGTAACATTCATTACAAATTTCACATTGTATTTTATAAATGTCTGATTTCCCCTCTTCCTCTACCTTGTCTTTAGGGTTACCTAATAAATCTCTTAAATTATTACTCTTAGATGTTACTAAAGTAATACCAAAATTCTTAAAAATTCTAGCTAGTCCATTAGAGATGCACAGTTAATATAAAATGGGTACATGTTGTCACAATTATTTTTGGAGTTAAAAAATAAATTAAAAAGTTGAATAACTTTATCAATATTTTTCAAAAATAAATGTTGTTAATTTTATAACCTAACTTACTTACTTACTTCTTGATAAATTATGTATATTATGTCTTTATTAATTATATAAATTAACTTCTTTTTTGCAATAATCTGATTTGTTATGTAAGGATAAATTTTCTAAAAATTCTTGAACAGGATTATCTATAAAATTTAAATCTTGAATAACTTTAATTTAAATTTAAATTTATTAAATTTACCTGAGTTTAATTCTTGGACTAAAGATGACATTGCATTTGTAACGGAATCTGCAGCAACTAATAAATCCTCTCTTAAGTTTCTACTTTCAGATGACACTAGTTTTGAATTAAACATTGATGAATGCTCAGAAGTATCTAAATAGTAATTCCAAATATTATAGTAATATTACATAAATGTTACCAAAGAAATTATTTTAAAAAAATCATTAGAGAAAGGGTTTCTTTTTCATAATTAACTGTATCTGAAACTATATCATAAATATCTGTATTAATGCATGCAAATTGTTAATTTTAGAATTATTTGCTAATATTAATACTTTAAGAATAATTTAAAAGATAGTTAACCGATATATACAGGGTGTTCAGTAAGTCAGGAAACGGGTATCTATTGTTCTCATTGTTTGTAACAATGAGAACAATAGATACCCGTTTCCTGACTTACTGAACACCCTGTATATATACTAAGAGGAACTAAATGACAATCTATAACTTTTGATACAATTAACATGTCACTGTAATTTTTTAAAACAATTAATTATGATTTATGAAATGAAAGATATCAATATTGTTAATCAAGTTAAATTATAGTTTATTGTATTGTTTTTTGTTGTATTTACTAGGATTAGAAGTATTACTAATCACTGATTTCATGGCATCATCTATCATATTTGTATCATAAGTAGATGTAAAAGATAATGTAGAAATAGAATTTAACAGAGCATCTGGTGTAGGTGGAGCTGATTTTGAAACTTTTTTTGAATGAGATAAAGATTTTATTGTAGATTGAGGAGAATCTTGATGATTCTAAAATAAATATCAAATGTTAAAATTTATGTTAATATTTAATTTTAATAATCAAATTCGTTTTATGAAAATAAATTCAATTACTCTAAGTAATTTCATTAAATTTTCTAATTGAACCATTAATTGTTTTCTAGAATCTTGTAGAGATGTTAGGTGAGATTCTAACTCATGTTTTCGATTTCTTAGAGCAAAAAGTTCATCCATAAGAGCTGGATTTTCATCCATTCCAGAAGAAAAACCATCCATTGCTTGTTGTTGTCTAAAAAAAGAGTAGTTTCAAATAATTATATCTATAATAAAGAAAGATAAAACTATACTTGAGTATTGTTATTTCTCTCAATATTTCTCTGTTTTTTAATTCAAGTTGCATAATAAGTTCTCTTTGAGTTTTTGAAGTATCTAAACTTAAGAAACCTTCTGATGAAACTTTACCCTATAACAATAATCAATATATTAATATAAAAAGATGTATCATTAATGAATACATGTGGTAACATAGCATTTTAATAAAGGTTCGAGTCTATTAACTTATATAAATAATTACAGTTTTTTTAAATTTCCATAATTTTTTAAGAATTTTCTATTTAATACTAGAAACCAACTTAACTTATTCAAATAAATAACAAAACTCAAATAAATAACCTGGTACCCTAAACGTGAAAGACACAAGTGTTACCGATTCAACAACTATTTTTCGCTTTGCCTGAATAATAAAATTTACAATTTAAGGTAATACAAATTTAAAAGTTAAATTTTCGACTTTAAAAAAGCAAAAAATAATTAAATAAGTTTAAATTTTTATATCTTATGAACTGTATTCTAAATAATAATATAAGCTTTAATTTAAAATTAAATAAAAGTGTCAATATTTCCGGAATACTTTCAAAAATTACATTGAAAGAGAGCTTAACTTGTGTGCAAAAATTGTTTTTTTGAATTTCCAAGGCAGGTATAGGGTCAGATTTTCAAAAAAATTATATCAAATGAAAGGCAAATATCTAAGGTTTCAATATAAAAAAAAATTAGGTTGATTTGTTAATATTTGAAAAAGTTATGTTAATTTTAAGAAAAAAAAATGAAAAAAATGACAACATTTTTTTGGAGATTTCCCCCATTTACGGGGAACGAGGGAAATTTTTTCAATTTTTAAGTGTAATGTCTTCAACTAGATACGATTTGTGATCTTTTGAAATATTGTTCATAGAAATCGGTCCAGTAAGATCTGAGAAAAAGTGGTAACAGAAACAAAAAAAAACACATCATTGTAAAACCAATACCTTCTCAGCTTCGTATCGAAGCTAAAAGTATTTCATAAAGCCATTATTGGTTGATTAAATAAATATAAGAAAAATATGGCATAATTTGCTAAATTGTTAGGTATATTTATGTATGTATTTTATGTAATCATATTTAAAAGAATAAGTTATGTCTGTTGCCACTTTTTCTCAGCTCTCACTGGACCGATTTCTTTCAATACTACGTTAAAAGATCACAAATCGTATCTAGTTAAAGACATTACCCTTAAAAATTGAAAAATTTTCCCTTGTTCCCCGCAAATGGGGGAAATATCCAAAAATATTACAAATTTAAAAATCGGTAAATTTTGTCATTATTTTCACTTTTTTTTCTTAAAACTTCCATAACTTTTTCAAAAATAAACAAATCAACATAATTTTTTTTAAATGTATTATATACAATATTTTTTTTTTTTTTCATACCGCCGGCATGCTGTGGACCACCCTGGAACTACCGCGAGGTATTGCTTCAGGGCGGCCCATGCCGTCTAAAATTCACACCACTACGTTGTGAATCAGCCCGAAGTTAATCAAGAGCTGATTCACAACGTGGTATGGCCTCCCCCGTTAGCCGGATCCCAAAAGGCGGGATCCGTTGCCCGGGTTACACCACGTGGAGGTGGGGGCAGGACTTCACGAGGGTTGGGCAAAATAACTCACAAAACATACAATACACATAAAACACAGACACATAAAATAAGCACCTACGGCGCCAGTCTAGCTGACGTCGCAGGTACTCCCACCCTGGGCAGTCTCTGCCTCAGACGTTCGGCCTCCTCTTTTTGGCTCATCACCGATTCATTCGGCGAACGCCTGAACCAGAGACCACCCCTCACGGCTTCTCAGCAACAGGTCCACCATGGACCCCACACCGAACGAGGACCCCAAGCGGGATTACAACTCCTCCCGCTCGCTGGTCCACGCTTCGCACCGGAAGAGCGTATGCAGAGCATTATCCGCTTCTCCCAGGCGATCCCGACAGTGATCACACGTCGGCGCGGCTGCCTTACGAATACCGTGTNCAGTGATCGCACGTCGGCGCGGCTGCCTTCCGAATACCGTGAAGGTATTCGTTGAAGCAGCCGTGACCGGACATCACTTGGGTCAGACGGTATGTCATTTCCCCGTGAGTCCGGCCAATCCACCTGTCGAGCCGGCTGGGTCCGATGAGGAACCTCGTCCACGCTCCCGCGGATTCCTCGTCGGCCAATCGTTGGCGCCAACTGGACACGGTTACGCTCCGGAGCTGCAACCGATCCTCCGCGCGAAGCGGTTGACCGGTGCTCTTCCGAAGCTCATATCCGTTAGCGCGTTCGACGGCCAACAGGTCCGCGGGCGGCAGAGAAGCCAGGATCCTGGCCGCCACTCCGGATACGGTGCGGTATGCGCACACCGTCTGGAGAGCGGCCCTTCTCTGGACCCGATTGAGCGCTTCCGCGTTCTTGGGCGAGTACTTCAGTATACCCGCCCAGACCGGGGACCCGTAAAGGAGGACCGAATGAACGACGCTAACTAACAGTCGGCGTCGATGTTCCCTCGGTCCCCCGATATTCGGCATCAGTCCCACCGGGCGGTCCATGACCTTCTGAGCCCGCTAGGCCGCACGTTCTATGTGTGGCCCGAACATCAACCTGTCGTCGATGAGCAGGCCCAGATAGCTCATGATCCGCTTCAGTGGGACATCAGTCCCCAGTACGGTGAGCCTAGGAAGAACGTACTTGTACTTTCGCGTGAACAAAACCGCTTCGGTTTTGTCCAACGCTAGGCACAATATATACAATATTTGAAATATTTTAAAACAATGTCTCAATTATTTATTAACAAATAAGGCGAGAAAGGGTATATTTAAAAGAAGTTTAAGAAATATTAAAAGTTACCTATTTTAAAAATCATAAAGTTTTAAGGATTTCACCAATTTATAAGGAAACAGGGAAGTTATTTCAATTTTTCAGGACAATGTCTTTAACTAAATACGATTTATGATTTTTTGTGGTAACGTTGAAAGAAATTGGTTTGGTAAAAGCAGTGAAAAAGTGTCGACAGATATAAAAAAAAAAATTTTCTCTATAAAAATAATGCATCTTATTATACGAGGGACGTCCAGAAAGTAAATATACAAGGCTTACCAAAAATATACTAAACCGTTTTATTAAAAAAAAATTACATAGCATTAAAGGTATATATCTAATCATTTTTCGACATAATCGCCATTAAGTTCCAAACACTTTTGGTAACGTGGGATGAGTTTTTGTATACCGGCGTCGTATTCCGTTCGCGCCACCTCCTGTAGCCATGTAGTCGTGTAATGTTTGAGGTCCTCATCGTCGTCGAATCTTTTTCCTCCCAAAGCTTCCTTCAACTTGGTGAAGAGATGGTAATCGCTGGGGGCCAAGTCAGGACTGTGAGGTGGGTGGAACAAAATATCCCAACCAAATTGTTGCAGTAATTCTTGTGTTGCTCGAGCAGTATGGGGGCAAGCGTTATCATGAAGAAGACACACTCCTTTTGTCAGCATTCCCCGTCTTTTGTTCTTTATGGCACTTCTTAATTTTTTAAGGGTTTTACAATATGCTTGTGCATTAATGGTAGTGCCACGGACCATGTAATCGACTAGGATAACTCCCTTACTGTCCCAAAAAACGGATGCCATGAAAGAGTTGTTCAGAATTTTTTGGCACTGGGAGAATGTGTATGACGCCATTGCATCGATTGTCTTTTGATTTCTGGCGTCGTGTAAGAAATCCAAGTTTCATCTACTGTCACTATACTGTCCAAAAATTCCTCTCCTTGTTCGTCATGACGTTCCAAAAACATTCTTCCTGCCTCAATCCTGTTCTGTTTGTGTTCTTCTGTGAGCATTTTTGGGACCCAACGAGCACTCAGTTTCCTGTAATCAAGTCGATTCGAGATTACTTCGTGCAGAACAGATCGAGAAACGCCTAGGCACTTCTAGAGAAGTTCGTCGAGAGTCAAACGACGATCTTCACGGATGAATTGTTCGACTTTTTGGATGAAATCGTCGGTCACCAAAGACGGCCGGCCGCTCCTCTCCTCATCATGCACACTCTTTCTTCATTCTCGAAATTCTCGTACCCATTTGATGACGTTTTGGCGATTCATAACATCTGGTCCATATGCTTTGACAAGTCGACGATGAATTTCAGTGGGAATGATTTCTTCTTGAGCGAGAAAACGGATCACACTTTGAATGTTCAGTAATAGAGGTGGCGGTAGCGTGCGATGACTCGCCCATCATGAACTAAAACCGTACTGGTCTGAACTTATTCGCGACATGTCCTCGAAAGTTGCAGTAGTGCCAATGCTCGAAAAAAAAATTCACTGTGGCCGTAGGGGGGGTTGTATCTTTACTTTCTGAACGTCCCTCGTATAATAGAACAAGGAAAAAATGCTTTTCTGAGAAAATTACTTAGCGTAAATTATTGATGAAGGTTGGAAAATTTTTGCCGTTCGCCGTAAGCGTTTTAAAATTTGGACCGTTTTCAAGAAAAACGCTCGCTGATGACAGAGTTTTACAACTTAAGGTTTGAAATTTTCACCAGACCCGCCCAATGATATTCCTGAAATATGATAAAAACAAATCAATCCGTTAATTTTTTACTGTTTTACGAGCTTTTCTTTAAGTCTACGCACTGTATTTAAAATAGGGGCATTGACTCATTTCTGCGCATTCGTTTATTCTGAACCTTAATTTGTTTAATATGTATTTTTATTAGGACACTATTTTGTATTTGCGCATACCACTGTATGTTATATACTGTATGTATATATATTATCAAGGAATGTTATATGTTATATATAAATTTCAAGACTGATACGACTTACGTCGCAAAAATGTGGTCGACACTGGTTTTGAGGGTAGAGACCCGTGGGCCATTTATTAAATGAGCGACAACAGATTATGTTAACAAAAATAAAACAAACCGAAAAGATTAACACAGTAATAATAATCTTCGCATAATATCGCGGCACTTTCGCTGACGTCGACGACGCGATATCCGGCGTAATCCTTGGACGGCAAAATGGTTAGCAGCGTTGTAGGCGACAGTGCGCGGGTGCGGATCGGTTGGTCGACATTGTCGCTTTCATAACGGGAGGAAGACTCTCGCACCATTTGCGGCGGGTCGTCGTCGGCCGTGCGGCATTTGCTGGACACTGCACCGTAGCGTATAACACGAGGTGTTGGTCAGTTAAATACACATAGTAGGGCGACGGCTGATAAAGGTGGCCGAGTCGCGGGGCATCGTGTATAACAAAGCGACGCGGGCCGTGTCAAGACGTTTATAATTATATAAATTTGTACATTCATTATCAGAACAGTACATTATTAATAATCTTAATCTTCTCATTTATGATGTATGAGACTATGAGTTTATCGTTTAAATTGAGATCCATCTATGACAACTATGCTGTCCAACGTCAAATCATAGTTACCAATATTTTTATCAAAATTTAATTTTTTACATAGTCCCTCGTATAATCTGCTCAATTTTTTTGTAATTATTCTAAAATATAATAAAATATATTACGAAATAATCAAAGGATCTAAAAAGTACATTGATTATAATCATTATCATAAGAGACGCTTCGATGCAAATCTGTAAATACTGTTTAATTTTAAGAAATTGGTGGAATATTCTAAAAGCAAAAATAACTCCTATTTTTTGTTCGACTTCGACTGCCTTTTGCACATAAAAAATAGGTCACCACTACAATTTTTTTTTTGAACTTAATAAATACAATAATAAATTTTAAAAAACCAACAGCACAGTGGGGTGGCGGCATAGTGGGGTTGTGACATAGTTGGGTCCAGTATAGATGATATCTGACAGTGATTAAAATCACTATCATAAGAAACGCTTCGATGCAAATCTGTAGATAGTGTTTCATTTAAAGAAATTGGTGGATTATTCCAAAAGCAACATCAACTCTTATTTCTTTAATTATATCCTGATTAGTAGTTCTTTAATTTTAAAATGTAATATTTGAATAAATACTAATTATAGTTTTTAAATTCAGTATGAAATTGATATTCAATAATTTAATATTATAATTTAAACGGAGAAATTATAAAGATAATAAAGAAATTATATTTTGTTTTACTTTTACGTGTATAAAAATTTAAAGGGCTAGATACAATAATTTTTAATAACTGTTTGTTACTATAAATAAATGCACTGGACTACAAGGAACTTTCATCAGAAGCAAAAATATACTTTTCTAAATTAAATTTTTGCGTTGTTTTCAAATCTGCAATTAGACTTTTTGTATCACTTCTAAGTATTAATATTATTACTAATTACATATAAAATACTAATTAAAAGAAAAAAAAAATTGTTTTCAAATTATTACTGATTTGATTTTTAATATGTTAAAATTAATCAGTCCAAATTTTCATTATTAACCTATTTTTTTGGTTCTTTAAAGTTGATGAAAAATTTTTGATAAAGATTTATGAAAGTTTATAGTAAACAAAATTGAATGTGTTACCATAACTTTTAGCTCAATTACAAGTTGAAATTGACATCATTAAATAGAAAATTTTATGAAAATCGGGATATAATTAAAGAAATAAGAGTTGATGTTGCTTTTGGAATAATACACCAATTTCCTACTTAAAAAAAAAAAAAAANACCAATTGCCTAATTAAAAAAAAAAAAAAAAAAGTTTGTTGGGAATTTTTTCTGCTATTCTCCAAAATTACTCCTTCGTTGACTAGAATGAATCATTAAATAGAAAATTTTATGAGAATTAAAACAATGTTATTTTGCNCCCCGTCGTGACAGCTCCCCTTGCAACTCTCTTATCGTCAGCTCAAGTATGCTCTTACCTGACATATTGAGTGCTGATATTCTAATAATAACAGATAAGTAGGTCAATGGGGATAAGCTAATGCGCTGATCACGTGATCGGGAAGTGGACTTGTCTATAAGATATTTTTAGCACAAACCACGTTAGGAAATTCTCCTGTATAATAAGTCTATCTCTAACTATATAGCTTATATACATCTTAACCCCAAAAATTAATAAGCTTATGGCTAATTAAGTCTTAAAAATTTCTTTTTCTGGGACTTATTACGCTTTTAGCCAGTTAAAGCTGTAGGTTCTCTATTTTGCAAATATTTTATTAAGGGTGCTACAAATAATAATTGCTTTAATTATTTAGCACTTACCTTAATAACTTCTTAGTCTGCAAAAAAAATATTCCGACTGCGCCAATTGTTGTGATCAGGTGATAGTTTAATATTGAATAATGAATAACACCGTGATTAAATATCAGTGAAAATATATTTTACAATTTCTATATCCGTAAGATTACATAAAAAGTTAGTTCTCAAAGGAAGTAGACAATCGCCAAAACGTTAATAATCATATTTCTTGTTAGTGGCCGGCGGCCTGGACCGGTTTAAGCCGCCCATCAGCCACTCCATATGGCGCGACCTGCCGGACGTAAAGGGAAAGCGCCGCGATCGCCATCCAGTGGTAAAGCTGGAGTCGCGATGCGACCGCGACAATGTTTGGCGGATAGCTCAGAACAAAGATTCTTAAAAAGACGTGAATTAAAAGCACTGCTTTTGATGGTGTTAACAACTTTTATACATGTTTCTAGTACGTTTTTAAATTCAGATGGCAGCGTTTTTGTAGCTAAGGCTTGTCGGTCTACACAATGAGAACAAATTATTGACGGATTTTTATTTTTTGCAAGATTTACAAAACCCGATCGTGATTCTAGCATTGCAGGGGCACCGTCTGTACACGCACCTATAACATTTTTCCAAAAGAAGCCATTCTGATCAAAAAATATATCGATGGCAGACAAAGCGTCACTGCCCTTTGAGGTGGAATTTAAGGTCTGGGAAAACATAAGTTCTTCTGCAATGGTCTTTTCATTTATAAAACGGCAGTAAACTAATAACTGGCAACAATTGGCCACATCAATTGATTTATCGCACTTAATTGCAAAGATTACGGAATTTTTTAATTTATGAATTAACTGATTTTGTATGTCCAAAGCTAATTCATCTATGCCTCGTTTTATTATATTGTCTGAAAGAGATATTTGAGAAATTTTCCTTTTACTTTCTTCACCAAGTACTATTTCAATGGCTTTAAGTATGCTAGGCTTAATTAATGTTTCACCCAATGTATATGGTTTCTTTTGCTGAGCCACCATAAAGACGATGTGATATGAAGCTTCAACAATTTTTTCATTACTTTGTTGAAATTCTCCGGTACTGTCAAGTTTCATTTTATATAAAGATTTTTTTTTAACCACAAAAAGGGAATCGTTATTTAACACACTGCGGAATTTGGATACCATCTTTTTCAATGAACGTGAAACCAAACTTTAAATATTCGTCTTTATACAATCTTCTTTTCTGTGGAGCCATTATTGTTACGCATGTACACTCGCGACAACAATACGGCAATACACGCACTATACAACTGCAAAACGAAACTAAATCGAATCTAAACTAATATTATAGCTTTTTCACACGAAATTTTTTTCTCGTACCGATTAATTTACAGATAACATGGCATAAAACGATTATGTTATACACTGTGGCCAATCACTATATCGGTTATCCGTTAATGATACCCGATAACGAATGAACAGAACCGGTCAATCAATGTTTTTGGTCTACAATTTAATCAATAAAATTTATAGTTCGTAATAACTGCGTGCGCCTTCCCAGCAATATGTTTATGCTCCCCAAGGGGGGCGCGCTCCCCAGTTTGGGAACCAGTGCATTAAACCGACACCTTGTACAGTTAAACCGTAGACAGTCTAATATAAACGTAAATTTTGAAATACAATAATACATCAAAGTATCATTTTATTAGTATCATTGATATCAAAGAAAATATTTAATTTGAAAAATTTATTTACAATTTTACCCAAAAATTAATAAAGACTATTTTTACTCTAACCGTTGTTTATAATGCAACATTGAGTATTTCAGTTTTTCTAGATATTCAGGGAAAATACGAATTTGGATTATACAAGAGGTAATTTTATTTTCATAATTATCAATAGATCTATACTATCTATAATAGGTCTCACAAAAAGATATGTGGGAAAAAATGTTCTAAAAAACTTTTATTATCACCATTTTGTCAAATTTTGAGATACGTAGTTTTTCAGTATAAGCGATGATATATTATAATAATGTTGACACATTGTTAACTTACAACTGATTTTGCTTCTGCTGCTAATCTTGCTGCATAACGAGCAATTAACTTGTGTTCATCATCCATAGAATTGTAGTCCAAACTTATCGCATGTATATCGGGACTAGAATTTTATAAATTCGAATAAGCAAATGTAAATAATGATATTATAGAGTTTACTATAAAATAACTATTTAATGTAGCATGTTAGGTAATATATTTAAATATAATTAACAGTCGGCACAAGCGACATATAAAAAGGAATTAAAGGTACTTTACAAAAACGTAGAATGTAAATAAATAGAACTAACTAATTAGTAAGAAAAAAAGAGTACTCTTTGTCATAAAATAACCTGTTAGCCAGGGAATATGTCCTATGACCGTTTAATAACAAAGACACTAATATTCGATTATTTCTGACTACACAATTTAAACATCATAAAATATTTCGTCTAATTTAGCAATAGTTTCATTAGTCATAAATGTCGCTTTGTCTTTTGCTAAGAGGAATTTGTACAATCCTATTCAACAAATCAAGCATTGTAAATATCATTTCCTTCACTAACGTACTTAGTTATTTTTTCAACGTCAGAATAGGAAACGAGTGATTGAATGTGTACTGGTAATCAACACACAAGCATTTATTTTTCTGACGATATGTTAACTAATAAAACTGGACTATCATAGGGCGATGTAGAGCGACTGATAATATTGGACACCTTCCATTCGTTTTCAATCGAGTTCATTGATATTTTTAGCAAAAAATTACTTTCGTTTCCATATGAATTTCTTAGGGAGTGGTAGATTTTTGACTAATAATTATGTAACGACGAGGCTGATAATTGCGTGCTGTACATACATTATTTTTATAGTCAAAGTGCATGAGCACAGTAGTATCTACTTTGTTAACAGATTCTTTTATGAATTCTTTACCCAGTTTGTAATATGCGACCAATATAGTGCTAAATCTAACCATGTGCACCCGACCAATACATCGATAGATGTATTAAACTAGCAGACTCGATCTTCTTTTTCCTTGCCTTAATTCCAACTACTTGGGGTCGACCAATAAAAACGATCAGACTCAATGAAAAGAAATATACATTTTCTTCCCGGCACACCATCAATCGCAATGTCAGTAATTACTTTTCTAATTATCATATTCGTAGGTACGTCTACGTCGTCGTCAGTACACAAATCTACTTTCATGTGCGGCGATTTCTCGTACTAAAATGTTTTACAAGCACGTATCAATAATTCTCAAAACCGATCGTTCATGGACAATAATATATGGCAAGGAATATGACATTTAATAATGCCTTTGTCATTTCCAGTATCTACCCGTAGCGCTTCATCCTTGTATCTCAGTGGCTGCTAATTATCGGTGATACAGTGATTGCAGGTACACTGGACTGAACCGCAATGTGGACACGGTCTCTTCGGTTTCGAACAACCGCAAGAAATGTGTTCTAGACTACAACAGTTGAAACACTTAACGACGAAAGGATTGAACTAACAAGATTACGCTTACTTTCCAAGAGCAACTCTTGTATGAGTTACACAATAGTAGTATTCAATTTTTTCTTTACATAGTTTGTATAAATTTGTTGTTAATTTTGTAGACGGCTCGTCGATTTTATCGGTTTTGAACTACTGACAGTTGAGGCAAAACGAGATTATCATTAAACGCGTAACCGTTCCCACTCCCACAGGTTATGAAGTAACTTTGCTAGTGTATCATATACACAGGGATCCCCACAAGGTTAGAGAAAAATGGACCCTTGTCTCGAATACCGGGGCCCGGACTTTTAGGGGTCTTGCCTCACGTTAAAATGATATTACTGAACTAAATTGTACTAAAAAAAATTATAAGAAAAAAATAATTATATTATAAATTTAAGGAGTTTCTATTTTTATTGGCGTATTAATTTTGTGAACTCCTATTTCCTTAATTATATCCTTAGATTTAAAAGTATAATTTATGAATAATATATTTATAACAATTAAATATAGTATGAAATTAATATTTAATAATTTAATATTGTAATTTTTACGGAGAAATAATAAAATATGAAATACTATATAAGTAGTATATTTTGTTACTTCTATGACAAACATGTATAAAAATTAAAGTTATTTAAAAGTTATTCAAACTAAATGAGATAAAAATCATATGAGTTGAACATATTTTGCTAACTGAAAAAGAATTAAGAAAAAAATATTAAAAACCCAGCACAGGGGGGTCGCGGCACAGTGGTGTCGTGATATAGTTGGATCAAGTATAATGATATCTGACAGTGATTAAAATCACTATCAAAAAAAACGCTTCGATACAAATCTTTAGATAGTGTTAAATTTTAAAAAAATTGATGTTTTATTCCAAAAGCTACATGATCTGCTGGTTCCTTATTAATATCTCGATTAAGATAAAGTATGTCCAACGAAAAAGGGTTTATTAAAAAACATAAAATCGAGAATTTTCACACGAAAATAGCATTCGATAGCCATTTTCACCATGAAGACAAGTCCAGAGGTCAAATTTTTTTTTTTTAATTAAAGTATATTACATTAGCATTAATTTAAGATATATATAAAAGTGTCAGACCTTCCGGAACATTTTCAAAAGTTAAGTTGAAACAGTTAATTTTTTGTAAAAAAGTTGTCATTTTAAATCCCCCCCTGAGGGCAGATAAAGGGTTAAATATACCAAATGATAGGTAATGACATCAAGCATCTATAAAAAAAAAATTATATTGATATGTTCATTTTTGAAAAAGTTACGACAGTTTTTAGTAAAAAAATTGAAAAAATTGAAAAAATTTCGAAAATTATCGATTTTTAAATTTGTAATTTTTTTGGAGATTTCCCCCATTTACGGGGAACGAGGGAAATTTTTTCAATTTTTGAGGGTAATGACTTCGACTAGATACGATTTGTAATCTTTTGACATATCGTTGAAAGAAATCCGTTCGGTGAGAGCTGAGAAAAAGTGGTAACAGACACAAAAAAAAAACACATCATAGTAATAAATAATACCTTCTCAGCTTCGCATCGAAGCTAAAATAATTAAAAACAAAAAAATTTGTTTTTTAAATATTATTGATTTTGATTTTTAATATTTTAAAAATAATGAAAAAAAAATCATTTTTAATCTATTTTATTGATCCTTTAAAGTTGATTTTTTGAAAGTTTATAATAAAAAAAGTTGAATTTATTACTATAACTTTTAGCCCAATTGGCAAGTTTGAAATTGACATCAATAAACAGAAAATTTTATGAGAATCAAAAAATGGTTTGGTAAATTATTATACAGTCAGGAAATTTTATAATTGCTATTTATAGTAAATTTATCAGAAAAACTCAATATTTATTTTAGCATTTTTATCATAGTAGATCACTTAAATAAAAATCATAGTAATCATTTTTAAGTAATTTTTGGCGATTAAAAATATTCTACAATTGAAATATATACATAACTGAATTAATACTGATTTTGATTATTAATATGTTAAAAATAAGCAAAATGACATATTTAACCTATTTTTTTAATCGTTTAAAGTTGATTTTCGTAAATGTTTATAATGAAAAAAATAATTTATTTTACCATAACTATTAGCTCAATTGGCATGTTTTATGAGATTTTAAAAAAATTATGATAATTAAAAAAATTGTATCGTTAAGATTGATATGCAGTCAGAAAGATTTATAATTACTATTTATTGTAAATTTATCAGAAAATCTCAATATTTTTTTGCATTTTTATCGTAATAGATAACTTAAATAGAAGTAATAGTAATAATTTCCAAGTAACATTTGGTGTTTGAAAAGATTCTGCAATTGAAATATTCAGAACTTAATTAATTTTAATGATTTACTTTAACTAAAAAAACTAATAAAAAAAAAATTGTTAAAAAGATCTACTTAATTGATTGTATTATAAAATTTGATTATAATTGTAAAAATTCATTGTTAAATTTAAGTAAAACTAAAAATCTTTTTTTTAGAAATTTTGTGGTAGTACCACACACAAATAGAGTAAAAAAATTAATAAATTTCAAAGAAATTATTGAATCTAAATTAGATAAAAATTAAATGAGTTAAACATTTTTTCTTGTAATTTTTTACCTTGTAAGGTATTTTAAAATAAAATAAAATACAAAACCGAAAATTATAATCCAAAAATAGCATATTTTTGAATACAGTAGTCATTTTCACCATTTCACAAACATAATATCAATAATTAATAGACTGGTTAATAGTTTAGACGATTAATAGTAATAAGTCGATATAATTATACTTATGGACTTCTATCATGTTTTAGATATTGTACAACTTGGGCAATGGGTGACATTTTAAATAGTAATGATAGCATTTTATTTTATTTTTGCAGTAGAATAATTGATCTGGAAAATATGAAAAAAATACTTTAAATGTTCAGATAATAAGTATTAAAGTAATAATTTTACTATAATGTGTTAAAAAAATTTGTAAAAAAATTACAAAATGAAAAATTGCTAATTTTTGACATTTTCTTTTTTATATTTTTAACTTTTTATTGCTATAACTTTTTGAAAAATGTATGGTCATTATAATTTGTTTATAATAACTACTATTAATATACTTATTTTATGTGAAATACTTTTTTTTTAAATCAGACCATTTCTCTTTATGCAGGGGGTTCAAAACTTAAAAATGCATATAGTAGAACTTTTTCATACTTAATTTTTGAAAGTGTTCCGGAAATACTGACACTTTTATATATATCTTAAACTAAAGTTTATGTAATATATTTTAATATGAAAAAAAAATTTCGGACTTTATTTTGTTTTTATGAAGAAAACAAACATCAAAGTTTTATAAAAAAAAAATACGATTTTTGTAAAAAAATTCTTTTTTGTATTTAAACTTTTTAACGCTATAACTTTTTAAAAAATGTATGGATCATTATATTTTTTTGAAGATAAGTACTATTCATAATTATGTATAATTAATATATATATATATATATATATATTTATTTATTCATATTACACTTATAAATCATAAACCTTGTAATTAGAATATAAATAAGAAAATAGATCATATAGCTTTTGGAATAATCCATTAAACTTTTTAAAATTAAACACTATCTACAGATTTACATTGAAGCGTTTTTTATGATAATGATTTTAATCACTGTCAGATATCATCTATACTGGACCCAACTATGCTACGTCCCCTCTGTTTTGGGTTTTTTTGAACTAAAAGAATCTGATAGCTTGATTATGCCTTTCGTAAATATTACACTGCCCAAAAAAAAAGACAAAATTGAACTTCTTGAACCATCTTATGATGATATTCCTATTGCAAAAGATGACAAAGATATTAAAAGTGAATTTATGTGTCAATGATTTTGTTGATTCCGCTAATTGGTATCCGTTAATATTCAATATCAAATTTTACAAGCCTATTCCTTCAACTTTGATAACTTTTTAAAAATTAATGAATTACTAAAGATTATAGAGGTAGATGTTTCTAGCAAATTTATTGTACATTAAGTTCTCTAATAACTTAGTTTCAGATAGTGTGATCATGTTATGAGGAAACAAAAATCGAGAGCAGCAAAAACAGTTATAGAAATAAACAATAATAGAAGAAGAGGAAGATGGAAAAAGAGATAATTGGATGCAATTGAAGGTGATATGACGATTAATAGTGTGTATATAGCTGATGTAGGAGATCATATCAAGAGGAAGTTTAGGATGAGGTTACGCGACCCATAATAGTTGGAATAAAGGTGAGAGCAGAAACTAAACAATCAACTGTGTCTGTTTGTACTAAAATTTGGCGAACTATTAAAATAAATAACTGTAACTGATCATTTCTTAAATTACCTTAGAATTTCCTACTTAAAATTAATTTTTTAATGATTTTCTAAATAATTCAATCTAACATTTGTAAGTCTTATTACTATCGATTTATCATAAAAACATTGCTTATTAATCACAAACCTTGCAGAGCTATTTTTGCTGTCTAGTGTATTAAATTGACTATTTAAAGACACCTCTGAAAATCCATAATGATTAAGTAAAGGAGATGGAGGTCTAAAATAAAAAGTTAAATAATCAATTAAATAATTTTTTTTTATCAAAAGAAAAAAATACTGTACATAATATGTGATAAATTTATAGTTTTTTCGGGTTCATTTGGAAATTGAGGAATAATATTTGCTTTTTCTTTTTCTGGTACACAATGAATGGATTTTCTTATTGAATGCCCAATGTGCTTACTTGGAGATTTCTATATTAAAAGAAGTTTATGTTTATTTATCAATTGAACATTAAATATACTTAACTCGACTAACATAACTTGTATATTCTTTAACATCATGTTCAATTGAATGACTTGATCCAACATTTCCTTTCCAAAAACATTCTTGACACATTTGAAAATTATGACATTTTTGACAACGATAACGAAATCCAATGAAATTATTACATTGACAAGCATTGCATGAAATTGGATGTACAACTAAACATAAGATAATGAAATTAAAATAACTAACTAATAATTAAGTTAAACTATTCAAATTTACGACATAATTTGCAATAATAACAATTATAAAAGTGCACTGTTAAAACAGATTAATAAGCTAATTCTTTTTTCACTTTTTAAAAGTCTTGGTTGTTTTTAAATAACTTGAATTATAAAAAATTTTACTATTAATAATTAAGGCCCAGGATTATATGCATTAATAAATTTTATTTAAGCCACTTTAAAGAGTCTCAAGTTTGTGCAACTTTATCATAGAATTATGCATTAATATAGAAATATTTTCTGTTTTAGGGCTAATGACCCCCTTAATTCCTCTAGATCAGTGGTCGGCAACCTTTTTTAATTCTCGGGCCACATTTACAAATTAAAAAGAATTCGCGGGCCAGATAAAAAAAAAAAATTTATAATTACATTATTTATTATGCAAAAAAATACTATCTAAAACTTAAAATAATAATATGACTTATATAAAATACCCGTACCAAAAACGCAACGTTCAATTATATTTATACAAAATGATATTCAATTAAATTAATCGATTTAGAATTTAAAGCGGGCCGTATTCAATAGCCACGCGGGCCGGATACGGCCCGCGGGCCGCCGGTTGCCGACCACTGCTCTAAATCATAGCCTCAGTAACAACATAAAACTAATTTTTTAAGTCAATTAATAAAAACTTTTTCCTGGGTGATAGTGTGATCAGAATAACTTAACAAAATTTATAAATGCATATTATCTACTATATTTTATTATATTATTATATTTATATTTTTATTAATTAATACTAATAATCAACAAAATAAATGAAGTATATGCATTCATTCTTTAAATAATATATTCATAAAAAATTCCTGCTATTCATTAAAGGTAATAAGGCTTAAAACTAATATGAGTAACCCAATATTGTTTGATGATGTATTTAATAAAGTGAAGCACAGAAAAGTTTGGTCAAAAGCAAAAATAAAATGTAATCACGTTCAATATTAAAGAATTATCTAACTAGAGTATAAATTTTTCTTTAATAGTTGTTAATAAATTGTTGACTGATCTACCACTGAATTTTAATATTATAATGTAATGCTCAACAAGGTAGTTGACTATTATTAATAGAATTTGATACTACAGACTCAATCTATAACATTACTAAAATTTAAGTTCAAATTACGATCATTTAATAAGTGGAAAGATGTCTGGGTGAATTCTATTCTAACTCAATACCAACAAACTCAAATGACAGTATTATGAGACATTTTCTTGGGAAAATGTGTTGATAGTGATTCAATTCAGTCGTAAAATACATCAATGATATACCAAAATATTCAAAAAACTAATAAGTCATACACTCTTAAATGATAGTCAGTGTTATATATGTTATAATTATAAATAAATTAATAATAACTGCAATAAAGTTTTTAAAGGGAATTATCAAAAGGTAGGTCTTTGTACAAAGTTAAATATTTTATCATATAATATTCCTTTATTCAATTTTGATTATTTTGTGTTAGTTGAAAACTGGTAAAGTCTAAACATACTGGATGCCAAACTTGGCTTTGATAACTTTAATGTGTTTCGTCTAGATCGGAGCGATAAAACTAGTGTGTGTATGAGAGATGGCAGAGTAGCTATTTTTGCAAATAAACGATTTGAAGTTGAGATATAGTATTTTAAAAACACTGATTATGTAAATTTTTCAGAGACATAAAAAAAATGTAAAATTATATTCATAATTTTACATTTTATTACATTTATGTAACATTATTGTTGAATAAATGTTAATTTGGATTAAATCATACTTAAATGGTAGAACATAACTAATATAACTATGTAATCTAATCTCATTAGACATAAAAGTTACATCAACTGTACCTCAAGGAGGGCACTTATATTTTTACTCTTTATGGATGACATTAAAATATTTTAAAACATAGTAACTTTTTATTGTTAGCAGATTATTGAAAACTTTATAAGTCCATTTATTCAGTTGAAGATGCACTAGTATAAAAGTTGATTTAAATAACTTTTACACCTGGTACTCATTAAACAGATTAAATGTTGTTCAAGAAAAATGTTATCAAATATCATTTATAAGGCATAATCAAAGATAAATTTTCATAATAAAATTAATAGTTCAGTATCAACGCTAATAACACAAAATAGACTTAGATATATTTATAGTTCAAGCTATTAATCAACACAAATAATATGTGTTTCAAAGCTTTTCAAATATTTGGATTGATATGGTTCAATTGTTCGAAATTTAAGAATCCTGATCGTTTAAAAATATTATATTTTAATATAAAACGTTTATACTAGAATACGGTTCATTTGTTTGGAAGATTAATACATAAAATTTAATGTGTTCAAAATAGGTTATTGTGAATTCATGTAAATAAATAAGCAAAATTGGTTTATCTCTTGAAAAACTAATGAATTATTTTAGTATTAACTCAACTGAAAATTAAATCATGATCTTGGCTTTTCAAGTTACTGAATTTGTTAATTGAACACCCTGAATTACTTAGCCAAATACATTATACATTCTTCAAATAAATAGCTATTTGTGTATTTAACATTTTATTGTGAAATCTACTAGCAAAATTATAGTTTTTGGCTACGATCAATAGAATGTAAGTTCTAGGTAACTCAATAAAAATTTTCGATTTTGATGATAACTTATTTATTTGTAATTTATATACTTGAGTATTTTAGTATAAGATTTTTGATAGTATTGATTGTAAAATAACTGTGATAATTATTTCTATCATAGTTTGTAGCTATTTTGGTTGTAAGAATTGTTAAAATAACTGTTTTGAGCTCATTTCTGATCATATAATAATATGATTAATACAAGTCAAATTAAAAGAAAAATTTAATTTTTTCAACACATGGTTACATAAGAATCCATAGTGTAATTTATTACAATAATTAATATTAGAAAGTTATTAACAAACATTACTAATAATTGGCTAGTATTGTTTGATAAACTGAAGAAGTTTTGGTAAACAAAATAAATATAATTATTTTACTTTTAATTCATCAATAAAATTTTTACCATTTTCAATATTCGCCAACCTATGTAACAAAGGTAACCAAACAAGACAAGCTGGTCCAGGATCTGACATCATTATGTTCATAAAGTCATTAACAGTAACATTGTTATTCTAAAAAAAAAAAAGACGCGTCGACACTTTTTATGAGAGAGAGAAAGAGTTTAATATTTATAATGTATGTATAATTCCATGTATGCATTATACATGGAAATTTAATTTCAGCATCAGTGCATTTCTTAAGCTAATAACAAAATCCCCTGTGAATTTAGATTGTCTCTTAATTATTTTTATTTTTTACTTTTTCTTAGCAACTAATTGAAACATACACTATGATTAATAAGTACCGGGAATGACTCATTTAAACAGCGCGCGGTTGTCATATCCGGTAATTTTTTTTTCTCAAATTGGTACATCCTTATTTGACGTCTCTGACAATTTTGAGCGTTATCACATCATTATTATGTGTTTGACAGCTGTAAACAATAGATAACTTTTTTTATTTCATCGCATTTTACAATGGAAAAATCAGTTGAGCAAAGAATCTGTTTGAAATTTTGTGTTTCCAACGATATTACATGCAAAGATGCATTGGAAATGTTGAAGAAAACATATGGGGACTCTATTATATCGAAAATCAGAACATACGAATGGTATAAAGAGTTCAAAAATGGCCATGAGGTGTGTGAGGATTTGTTGCATGCGGGGCGTCCATCAACATCAAATACCGAAGAAAACGTCGCATTGGTGAAGAAATTAGTTTTAGAAAATCTTCATTTGAGTATAAGAGACGTTGCTGATGAAGTAAAAATCTCTTACAAGACGGCACAGCAGATAATTTCCGATATTATGGGCATGTGACTAGTTGCAGCACGGTTGGTGCTAAAGGAGTGGAATTTACTCCAAAAAGAGCATCGAAAGGGTGTGGTCGAAGAAATGATTTGGGAGTCATCTAACGATCCTACATATCATAACTGGCGACGAGACATGGGTCTACGAGTATGACGTGCTAACTAGCCAGTAATCATCCGAATGGCGTGCTCCCCGTGAGCAAATCCAAAAAAAGCACGCCAAAGTCGCTCAAAAATATAGGTTATGCTCACTGTATTCTTTGATTACCGTGGTGTAGTGCACTTCGAATACTTGTCACACGGCCAAACCATTAATAAGGAATATTACATCGGCGTTATGAAGCGTTTGAGGAATGCAGTGCGTCGTAAACGGCCGGATTTGTGGGCGGCCAACAATTGGATTTTACACCACGACAACGCGCCAGTTCACAAAGTCAAGCTAGTGCAAGACTATTTGATGAAACACGATGTTGAACAACTTCAACAAGCACCGTGTGACATTTTTTTGTTCTCCCGACTGAAATTGCCGCTTCGTGGGCGTCATTTTGAGTCGCTGGATACGATCAAAGAGAATACGAAGAAGGAACTCAAGGCCATTCCGGCTCAGGCCTTCCAGCGCTGTATGGATGACTGGGTTAAGTGCTGGCATCTTTGTATCGCTTCAAATGGAAGAGCTATTTTAAAGGAGATAAAATAAATTTGGAAGAAAATTAACACAATTTTGTTTTATTGACTCATTCCCGATATATATTGATCATAGTGTATTTATCAAAAAAATACTTATATCATCTTATAACTAGTTATAATTTCACAACAAGGAGTTATAGGAGGTTGTAATCCCTTCTAATTGTAAAAAAATGCATAAAATTTCTTTGTCAAACAAAACCTTTCTTTAGCCATAGCTGATCAAAATTTCAAATAACCTACTGGGTTGTACTAATAACTGGCTATTTTTATTGAGAAAAAAATTTGCTTACTGATGATTTGTCAACATAAAGCACTGATAAATTTACATTAGATGTGAATTGTATCTATAGCAGTGTTTCTCAACCTATTTACTGTAGCGACCCCCCTTTTTGAACGAGCCCTTTTTATATTTTTTTTATACACTCGCATAAATAGCAGAAGTACTATAAAATATAAATAATAAATATAAAATACATATATTATTAAAATTATTTTTATTATAATATAGTTAATATACCAAGGATCTTAATGGCTTGGTTGTTGCTGTTCGTTTGAAATTATGTCGTCAATTCTTGGCTTTATAGAGTTTGTTAAGCTAATTCTCATGGTTGCTGAAATGTCCAGTCGGTTTCTAGTTTTATTTTTTTCTGCTGTCAATGTAAAAAATCCATATTTGCACAAATATGTAGTTGAAAATGGAATGAGTACTTAAAATGCTTTTTCAGTCAAACTAAGATATTCATTTTGAACGAATATCCAAAATTTTCCTACTTTATTGTAACTTTAAAAATTCTCGCGTAATCCCATATCTGAACTCAATTCAATCAGTTTCTCTTTATTTGTAAATAAAAATATATTTTAATCTGATTGTACGAACGGATTTATTACCCAATTATAATTTTTAGGGATGTCTTTAGTGGTGTCGAAATATTTGGAAAATTTCTCTTTTAATTTGCATAAGTGTTCTTTAATTATTATACACATTTCATTAATTTCATTTTTTGTGAATATATTTTCCTGGGTCATATTAAAAAAATTCGGAAACATATCAAATATCTCGTTATTAACTTGATTTGTCCATAATACAATTTTTTAAAGAAATGCTTCAATTTTATTGTACGATATAAAAAGATTAGTTTGTGGTCCTTGCATACTTAAATTTATATCATTTAGAATTGAAAATATATCGGAAAGATATGCAAGTTTTGTTAACCATACATTTTTTTTCGAAATAAACACTAAGTGGTGATTTTTTGTCTCTCAAAAATATTTCTACTTCAGTTTTCAGTTCAAACAACTGGGCCAAAACTTTTCCTCTTGACAACCCATCTCTTCACACATTATTTTGAAAATGTGAGTGTTTACGGCACTAGCTCGAATAAAATTTACAATTTTTGTAGATATATTTAGGACATCAAATAGGTTTTTGTTTATATTTTTAGCAGCCAGTTGTTCACGATGAACGAAACAGTGAGTTGATATAATGTTTTTATGAGAAATTGTTTGAACACGAGTGACAAGACCATTGAATTTCCCGGCCATAGCTGCAGCTTCGTCAGTGCAGATACCGTTACAATTAGAAAATTGTTAATTAATTTTTTGGAAATAAAATTAGATAGTATTGAAAATGTCAGTAGAAGTACAGTAAGTTTTCAAATTTAAACTGCAAACTTTACAATGGGGATGTAAACAATGAACAGAAATCGATATGACTGACGAAGTCAAAGAAATTATCATTTCATCAACCTATTATTATATTTATCGATAGTAAACGGCCTAACAAAAGACCTGTTGTTAATAGTTGTTTTTCCGTTTTAATTTATATTTAAACTTCTTATACACAATAACATAAAATGTTATATAATGATATATTATTCTCGTATTATTTAGTATTGTAATATTTATTGATTTAATTATTTGTAATTCGTAATTTTTTATAATGATTTAAATCATATGATAGTGACCCTAAATAACTAGATAACGATACCCAGGTTGAGAAACAATGATCTATAGTACTATATATTTATTAAGAATAATTACATAAAATAAAATACCATTTTTTTATCTGAAATTATTTTTTAATTTAGCACAATTATTTACCATAACAAAAATTTCTGAAGGCAATTTTTCAGTGTATTGAAAAGAAGGCGATTCAAAAACAACAGCTGGTAATGCTAAGACTTCAATTAAAAATTCTCGAAATTTCCAGGCAATCAAATGTCCATTCTGATCACAAATTTGTGAAAAAATATCTACAAAATTAATAAAAAAAAATTAATTTTTAATATCATATTTGTTTAGGAATAGTTGAACAAATTTATCATTGCAAAACTATGGACACATACATAATGTATTAGATGTACATTTATTATATATCATTTAAATATTTTTAATTTATCCCAATGACTTATTTCGAGTCTTATATTTATCAAGAACTTGATAGAATAAGAATTCAGTTACGAACAATTAAAATTAACCATTCTATAAAGTAAATAGTGTTAATTAATTCTCTGAATTAAATAAAAAATGTAATTATAGAATATAAATATGTTTTTTCAAAACATTAAGTGATGATAAATAATTAATAAAAATTGATAAAAGTATTGATCTTAGTATTAGTTAACTAATTTTTCAATAAATATTCAATTGTATATAGTTGCTATTGATTTAACATGTTCATAATATAATATATTTATATTAATATATTAGTTAATATCATCTAGTATTGATATTTTAATATCAATTAAAATAAATTTACTCTAGTGACCTCTAACACCAATAATAGGCATCAAATAGATGTCTAAAAGGTACAAACTAGTAGTGTCTACTAAACATATACACTAAAGATGTTTCTAGATATCTCATATAGACTAAATTTAGATGTGTGTTACATGTTTTATAGTACACATATTACAAATGTCTACAAGGACTCTACAAATGTTTACTCGGAAGTTATATATATTTTGTGAAATGTCAATTTATTCTTTCATAAATGCAAATCTAAATTTATAGTAGTCTATACACAAATTAAAATAACTTTGATTGAATTTAAGGATGAGCTGGTCAAAGGAAAGAATTCAGGAGATGTGTGAAACTATGACAAAAAATATAAGTCATATATTTTGACTTCAGAAGACACCTTTGAAAGCTCTGAACTTGCGTCATTATTGTAATATATATTTTCTTGCAATACAACGCATGAATAAATACTGCAAGTTGACAATTAGTAACTTCATCAGACCCTGGATATATATTTATACTTATGTAAATATTGGCATAAAAACATTTTGTAAAACTTTTGAACTTATCTGGCTATCAAAAAATGTTCAAGATGAATGGGTCAAACTGTAAAAAATGAAATATACTTGAAAACTAAAATTAGTGATTCAATATAATATTACTAATTAATGAGTTTAATATTATAGAGTCATAAAAATAAATCAAAATATAATACTAGTCATTTTTAGATTCAATGCGAAGCTGAGAAAGTATTAATTTTACACTGATGTGTTTTTTTTTTTGCCTGTTGCCATTTTTTAAACATAGACATCAATTAAGTTACAGTGGCTACCAGTTCCAAATATACCATCTATAATTCATAGACATGTAATAATTGCTAAAATATTACAGATAATGAACAACACAGAGAACACCCTGGATTATAAAAACATTAATAATGTACAAAATATAAGATTAAAATCGAGACATCTAATGATAACAGAAAATTTTACTGATAAGGGGAGGATATGTGGAAAAATAGTTGGACAGAAAAGAATATTAATAATAAAAATCTTATAAGTGACCCTATACAAAGAATCGTGTCTTTGATTATCCTGGAACTATAAGTACTTCTTTAAATAGAATACAAACAATGCAGGACAGAAGTAATTACCAACTACATATGTGGAAAATGAAAACTCACATTAGTGTAAATCCAGACTATAAGATATTGTAGAGAAATTTCCACAAATAAAATATAAAGATAATATAAGCACAGGGTAGATAAAGAGGCAGTTGATTGGTTGTGCAATCTTGATTTTGAACATAGATAGAAATAAAGATTATTATTTTATTTATCAAATAATTATTGATTGTAATTTAGTTTAATTTTAAATTCTATTTCTGTGTTAATTATGAATTTTACCCAGTTTCTTTCCACCACTGTGCCTACAAAAAAAAAAATTTGTTTAAAAATACTAGTTCAAAAGTTGATATTGACCAGTTATTTTCTTAATTAGATTATAATAAATAACAAATTAATTAGGAATTTAATTTTTTGAAATGTTTCATTTCAAAAAATTACATTACAATCCATATAAAATATAAAAGATAAACATAAAAAATATTTACATTTAAAAATATCAATAAGTTTCGAAATACTGGCCTTAAAGTTGTTATTACCAGTTATTTTTATAATTAAATCATTATATATTAAATAAGATAATTAATTATTCTTCTCACTCTAATTCATAAAATTCATAACACCAAAATGTCATTTTTTCAAGAGAAAAAATTGAGAATTTACTAAAATTAAAAGTCTTTAGATGTCCCTGAAATCAATGTTTACTATTTACTTTCTAAAGTAAAAATAATGCTTGTTTTAATTATTAAATTTATACGGGAATGATACTCTCCAAATTATTGAAATATTAAGATTAGTTTTTATTTTAGGATCAATCAAAATTTTTGCAGTTTTTAGAGTCTTCATAACTTTTTTTGCTATCATTTTGTTGGTAAAATTGACAATATTCACTCCACATCCCCCCAATATACTAATTAATAATCACCATAGTTTATTATTGTTTTAATATTAATATTACTTACATCGATACTTGTCCATAAGTTTTCCTGAACACATTATAGCTAATGATATTTTAATAGATAACACTCTAATTCTTCCTATTGTTTTGTTTCTATGGTACAAATAAATATAATTTTTATTAATATACAAGGCTTGATAGAACCTATATGGAGACAGAATTAGCATATTATTTATTTCTGAAAATGATTTTAAAAGTAAAAGAACTAGAGCATGTTTATAATTTGGAAGATATATTAGACTGATAAAAAAAAAATTTGATCTTATGACCTCAACTTCATTTTGAATAAAACTTTACTGAAATGTAAATTTGGTGATCTTAATCTAGAATAAAAATTTATTTTTAGAATTTAGTTTTGTTTCTTAGGAATAAGAAAAATCAATTTTAAAACTCAAATAGATACTAAGTCAGAAAAAAATTATTTTTATATAATTTAAATTGTAAAATATCATTTTACCAAAACTGCCAAATATATCTATAAATTTATACAAATTTATCTGCAAAAGTATCTTTGCAATAAATTATAAATATCATAAAAATAAATTATATCACTGTGTATTATAAGTTTAATACCAAATTGCTATAAAATTGTATAAAATAAGCTGCATAACAAACAAATGTGTAATTACAAAATATTTCATTTTTTTCCTAGTATATAGATTTAGAATAAAATATTTTTAATTTATAACTAAATATTCTATTAGCAATGATAGATTAAATAAGACTAATTGTTACAGTTTATTTATATTTACAACATTTTCTCAATTCCCCTAATCAATAGGACATTTTTTTTATGTTTATAGTAATGTTTCCTTTAAAATGCAAATTGTAATTTTTTAACTTTACATTAAAATTAAAACACATTCTTAAACTTTTATTAACTATAAAACTGTTTAATCAAGAGCATAGATAAAATATCACCATTAAATAAATAATTTTAATAATTCTGTGTCTACAAATAAATTAAACTGAACTACTAACAGCGAATAAACTGATATGATCCAGTTAAGTAGCATTATTGTCAGTTGATCAGCATCTACTAATTGTTCACTTGGTAATCGTTTATTAAGATTAAAATATAGACTAGATATTACGTTTTCCAATTTGTATATATCAACTTCAACATGTGATTCTAATATATTTAATCCATTTTCTCGAAAAGCTTCAATAATATTCCAAATATCCAAAATATGCACTAAATAATGTAAAAAAATATGATCATAATTTAATTATTTTTTAATATTGAAAAAATATATATATTTTATAAATCAAAATTATTTTTTAATTGGTGTCGTGTATATTCAATGCAGAATTAGTACATTTTTTTATTTTAAGTGTTAAAATTAAATTTTAAAAACCTTTTATTTTAATAAAGTTTTAAATTTATTACATACCAAAAGTTTGGTCTTTTAATAGTAACTTTACATTACTGAATATATAAGACTTATTTCTACTAATATTGTTATAATTGTCTTAAAGTGCATTGACCAATTATTTACATTAGTTTTTTTAATTTTCCTTCTTACTACTACTTTAATATTTATTAATATCCCGAAAAGGTACATTAATATAATAGAAGATATGTAGGATGGCACTTGTACCAGGGTAAAAAGCGTAGGAGTAACAGAAGGTTTTAGGGTAAAAGTAGGAGTGCACCAAGGTTCTATTTTAAACCCTTACTTATTTTCAATAGTGATGGACAAAATTATTAGAGAAGTACAAGGTACATGTTGTTAGGAGACAATATAGTGTTAATAGGAGAAAATAGAGAGGCAATTAATCAAAGGCTAAAGGTGGAGATCAGCTCTTGAATAATAGGGTATAATAAGTAGGAGTAAGACAGAGTATATTGAGTATGAGTTTGACAAAAGAGAACACGAGGTAGGTGAAATGAGGAGTTCAGTGACAATAGACAAGGACGTGATAGGAGAGGTGGAAAGTATTAAGTATTAAGGATCAGTTGTGCAAAAGAGAAGGGGTATTTAAGACACAGGATTAAGTACGGATGGTTAAAGTGGAGAGAAGCGTCTGGTGTGTTATGCGATAAAAGAATTCCAATGAGGCTGAAAGGTAAATTCTATAAGGCTGTAGTGAGACCAGCTATAATGTATGGTTAAGTGTTGAGCAGTTGACAAAAAAGTAGAGCAAAGAATGAGTGTAGAGAAGAAATATTTTATAAAAACTATAGATATATTAAAAACTTACAGAATAACTTTTTTTGAATATATCGAAGTTTACAAGCAGTTCTATAAGAAGCAAAACGAATTAAATCATAATTCTCAGACTTCATTTCTTGTAACAAATGCAAATAACTATCAGAAAATATTTCTTTCTTATTTGACATCCTAAAAATAATTCAAAGTTCTACATTTAGTAAATTTATTAAATTAATTTATTGGTAAGTAGTTGCATATCTTTCTTATATAAAATTAGACTACACTACTAATTAAAAGGTGTTAATGATTATTAGGGCTATCTTTATATAATAATTTTTTTAATTATGCAACATTTTCCCTCTAAAATTGTTTTAATGCTTACTGTGCAAAATTTGAGACCGATATGATGTAGTTAAAACATGTTAAAAGACAATTGAAGTAGAGTTAGATCAATATATCCTTTGTTATGTTTTAGGGGAGTAAGTAGCAAAATTAAAAATATTGTTATTTTATTTAATTAAAATTCAATAAAAGTAATTATCTAAAATAATATTCATAATAGAATGTAGCAAATATACATGAATATTCATTACATTCTTATATATTATGAGTATTCTTCTAGAAATCATAGGTACAACTAGGATGAAACTTTTGGGGATGCTAAATTTGTTTCATCCCTAAAAACAATTTTATAAAAGAATACATTTAATTTTCAACATTTTTGGAGGGATCGATTCTTTAACTGACAAAGGCTAAAACACAAAGTTGTAACTACAGTAGTAGGCATGGCTTACAGACAGTTATATAAAATAAATAAGAATTTCTTTCATATTTATAAAATTATTTGGTTTACTGAAACTGTTAAATTCTCATTTAAAACTTATTTAATAGAATCATATGCATTCTCTTGAAATTCTCTATGATAAGAATAAATATATTGCAAAAATATATTTAAGAAGGAATAATAAAAAAGTTTCTTATACATCTCTCCTTACCTCCAATTAGAACTTTAAGAACACCACCCCTAAATTTAATATAGATTAGATATTTTAAATCAAGAAACAAAATTCTTACTTAATTAGCTAAGTACAACTTTAGACAGTCACTGTAAAAAATAGATTTGCGGGAAGGTTAGTTAAATAATGTATTGTTCGTCAAAATTGGTCATATATAATTATACAAAAACAATTCAACAATAATGCTTAATTTAAATTAAATAATAAATTTATAATATTATGAAAATAATTAAAATCAAGCACTATGAAAATCATTTGCAATGTTTTCTAGTCAACATAAATAATAAATGTACTTAGTATGTAGTCAATTTTTAGTATTGAAAAAATAAGTTAAAAAATCTAGCAAAGTAATGAATGAGTTAAAATTTTTATCTTATGTGTAGAAAAGTTAATTATATTTAATCAATATAAAATTATATAAAGTCATGTATAATTTAAAAAACCATTAGTACTTATTAAAATATAATGATGATAATTAAATCTAAAGCAATTACACAGAAAAATACATTTTATATAATTTCAGTGTTAATGTATGATAAGAAGCTTATCAGTGTCTATCATATGGTCCATTCTCAAATTAAAACAACAATGATGCATAGCGTTGCTAAACATATTTTTACACCAATTGTACCATATGCAATAATATTATTCTATGGCACGTTTATTATACCATAATAATTAAATATTATAGTTAATAAAGACTTTACTTTCTATTGTTTATTATTTAACCTGAAACATGGTTGTATAGACAAGTTTGTCATCTTCAATGTTTTCAACGCTGGGCCAGCTGAGCCGTTATTGATAGAAACAGGCTATATGTCGCCGGTAGTGTTTAATAGTGATGGGCATAATCGAATGATTTCGATAATCGAATGATTAGTAATCGAGACATTTTCATAATCGAGTGAATCTCTCGAAAAATCACTCGAAGCTAAAATCGTCTGCTCGTATGATAAGAATAATCAACTATTATTATTTATCGAGAGAATCGAAAAATTATTCGAAATATGAATAAATATACCTATAGTAAATAATTATTAATTTAATTTTGCTTTTTTTATTTGTTGGTGTTTATTTATAATTATTATATTAAACTATAATTTAGGAATAATAATAACAATAATATATTAATAATGCATTATTAATAAGTGCTTTAAATAAAAGACAATTTGTTATTTTATTATTTAATAATTATTACCTATATTTTAAAAAAACCGATAACAAATTTAAAAATAAAAACATAAGATAAGGTAGCAATAGCCGGCTTGACCATCATAATTAAAACACCTGATTCCACACCTAATTGATTTTTCATAAATTCACAACTAGTGAGAGAATCAGAACTCAGTAGTTTAATCAGTTCAGGACAAAACTTTGTTCTAATCGTCACATACTTCCCAAAAATGTGACAGATAAGGTGTTCCCATGAGTAGCGATTGAACGAGTTGAAAATAAGAAGACTCGAAGTCAACAATTTAATAATAATTCGACTATAATTTATGCTAAATAAAAACTTAAAAATAGTATTCTCTCGTTTCATCGTTTCATGGACATCATTCGAAATAACTTTTATTCGATTATATACATTTAAAGATCAAGAAATCATTGTTTTTATAATAAACGAGAAATCATTAGAAATAATCACTCGATTATATAATAGATATGATTTCAATAATCGAAATATCTCAATTATATATCTCGATTATGCCCATCACTAGTGTTTAATATAACTATTTTCACTTTAAAAGAACCATTATCAGTTAATTATTTATATTCTATTGGAAATTAATTGTATTGTTATACAAAGCCGTAATTGCATAAAATTTTACAATGTAATTAATTATTACATTTAATTTAATTTTAGCTTCGATGCGTAGCTGAGAAGGTATTAATTTTATATATGTTTTTTTTTGCGTCTGTATACGCTCATTCTCAGCTTTCGCTGACCGATTTTGATGTAAAATAACTATCACAACTTTCAGAATTACTATTAGCTTCGATGCGAAGCTGAAAAGGTATTGGTTTTACTATGATGTTTTTTTTTTTTGTGTGTCTGTTACCACTTTTTCTCAGCTCTCGCGGAACCGATTTCTTTCAACGATATGTCAAAAGATCACAAATCGTATCTAGACGAAGACATTACCCTCATAAATTAAAAAAATTTATCTCGTTCACCGGAAATGGGGGAAACCTCAAAAAAAAATACAAATTTAAAAATCGCTTATTTTCGAAATTTTTTCAATTTTTTTTACTAAAAACTGCCGTAACTTTTTCAAAAATTCACATATCAATATATTTTTTTTTTATAGATGCTTGATATTTACCTATCATTTGGTACATTTTTTTTGTAAATTTAACCCTTTGTCTGCCCACAGGAAGGGATTTAAAATGACAACTTTTTCACAAAAAATTAACTTTTTCAACTTAACTTTTGAAAATGTTCTGGAAGGTCTGACACTTTTATATATATATTAAATTAAAGCTAATGTAATGTTCTTCATTATGGAAAAAAAAATTTGACCTCTGGTCTTCGTGGTGAAAATGGCAACCGAATGCTATTTTCGTGTGAAAATTCTCGATTTCATATTTTACATTTTTTACTTTATTATACTATAACTTATTGAATAGATTTTAATCACTGTCAGATATCATTATACTTGATCCAACTAAGCCACGTCACCACTGTGCTGAGACCCCCCCGTGATGGGTTTTTTACCTTGCATACAATTAGAAATTATATTTGGCTAAAATGAAAATACCACAAATCTCAAGAGAAAAGATGACATGAATCATATTGAAACGTGACAAAAAGTAACTGTTTATTTTTAGCTTCGATGCGAAGCTGAGAAGGTATTGGTTATACTATGATGTGTTTTTTTTTTGTGTCTGTTACCACTTTTTCTCAGCTCTCACCGAACCGATTTCTTTCAATGATACGTCAAAAGATCACAAATCGTATCTAGTCGAAGAAATTACCCTCAAAAATTAAAAATGTTACCTCGTTTCCCGTAAATGGGAAACCTAAAAAAAAAAAAAAATACAAATTTAAAAATCGCTAATTTTCGAAATTTATTCAATTTTTTTTACTAAAAACTGCCATAACTTTTTCAAAAATTCACATATCAATATATTTTTTTTTTATAGATGCTTGATGTCTTTACCTAACATTTGGTATACCTTTTTTGTAAATTTGACCCTTAACCTGCCCACAGGAAGGGATTTAAAATGACAACTTTTTCACTAAAAATTAATTTTTTAAACTTGATTTTTGAAAATGTTCCGGAAGGTATGACACTTTTATATATATATTAAATTAAAGCTAATGTAACATACTTTATCATGCAAAAAAAAAATTTCGGTCTTTATCTTATCTTCACAGTGAAAATGGCTACCAAATGCTATTTTTGTGTGAAAATTTTAGATTTTGTATTTTACATTTTTAACTTTAAAATGCTATAACTTTTTGAAAAATGTATGGATCCATACAATTTTTTCATAATAAGTAGTATTTTTATACATCTTTCATTCGACATACTTTATCTTAATCAGGATATTAATAAGGAACTAGGAGATCATGTAGCTTTTAGAATAATATACCAATTTTTTAAAATTAAACACTATCTAAAGATTTGTATCGAAGCGTTTTTTTTTATAGTGATTTTAAACACTGTCAGATATCATTATACTTGATCCAACTATACCACGACACCACTGTGCCGCGATTCCTGTGCTGGGTTTTTTTTTTTTTTACTTAAAATTGCCAAATCTTTTTTAAAAATGAATGAATCAATATAATTTTTTTTGTAAATATACCTATGATAGCTATTTACCTATCATTTTATATATTTTTGTGAACATTTGACAGCCAACAGGAAGGGTTTCAAAATGGTAACTTTTTTACAAAAAATTAACTTTTTCGACTTAACTTTTGAAAATGTTCCGGAAAGACTGACACTTTTATATATACCTTAAATTGAAGCTAATGTAATGTACTTTCATTTGAAAAAAAAAATTTGACTTTTGGATTTGTCTTGATGGTAAAATTGACTACCGTATTCAAAAATATGCTATTTTTGTGTTAAAATTCTGGGTTTTGTATTTTATTTTATATGAAAATACCTGACAAGGGGAGTACAGATTTTTATAAATACTATATAAATAAAAATTTGATGTAGCATAGAAAGTTAAACTTATTTAAATTTTTTTGTTTTTTGAAGTCGAGAAAATTAACTTTGAAATTTGAATTAGCTTAAATAGCTTATTTTTTAACCGACGGTACCAACGTTCGGTTGTCGAGTTGGTAAAACTTGTGTTTTACAAGCTTGGGGTACGAGGTTCTAAAACCCATCCCGCGTATTGCAATGAATTTTTTGCATTTTTACTTAATTCTTTTTAAGTTAGAATAAATTTTCAACTGCTTTGATTTTTATCTCATTTAGATTCAATAAAGATCAAGCATTACTGTAGATCACAGTAGTCGCCACTCACGAAAAGAAATTTCTTATTCATATTAAAATTATTTTACTATATTTTAAGTTTTAACTTCGATAAAAAGCTGAGAAGATATTTTTTTGTGACTATCATTTATTTTCTCTGCTCTAACTTGACCTACTTTTTTCAACGATACGTCAAATGACTACAATTCGTATCTAGTTGAAGATATTACCATCAAAAATTGAAAAAAATTCTAATTTATCAATTAAACAGTTAGTTATTCCATGTTCTCCATACAGACAATTAAAATCATTCATTTCTAATANTTTATCAATTAAACAGTTAGTTATTACATCGTCTCCATAAAGACAATTAAAATCATTAATTTCTAATGTTTTCAAAATATTTATTAACGAATGAAGTTTGATATGATAGGTTTCAACTACAAAATTAAATCATTTTACTTTGTAATTTAATCAATTTTTTACTGTATTTGTGTGTACTACTACTAGACTATAATATTACAAATTTTTTGGTAAAAAAATGATTGTTAGTTTCTCCTGAATTTACAGTGAATTTTTACAATTATAATCAAATTTTATTATACGCTCAATTGAGTAAATCTTTTTAACAACTTTGTTTTGATTGGTTCATTTAGTTAAAGTAAATCATTAAAATTAATTAAGTTCTGAATATTTCAATTGCAGAATCTTTTCAAACACCAAATNAGTTCTCAATATTTCAATTATAGAATCTTTTCAACAAACAACAAAAGTTCCTAGGAAATTATTACTATTACTTCTATTTAAGTTATCTATTACGATAAAAATGCAAAAAAATATTGAGCTTTTCTGATAAATTTACAATAAATAGTAATTATAAATCTTTTTGACTGCATATCAATCTTAACGATACAATTTTTTTAATTCTCATAATTTTTTTAAAATCTCATAAAACTTGCCAATTGAGCTAAAAGTTATGGTAAAATAAATTTTTTTTTTCATTATAAACATTTACGAAAATCAAATTTAAACGATTAAAAAAATAGGTTAAATATGTCATTTTGCTTATTTTTAACATATTAATAATGAAAATCAGTATTAATTTAAAACAATTTTTTTTGTTCTTAATTATTTTTTTTTATATGTAAATATTATTTTTTAATAATATTAAAACATAGAAGAGATAGAAAAAGTCTAANATTTTTTTTTATATGTAAAAACTATTTTTTAATAATATTAAAACTTAGAAGTTATAGAAAAAGTCTAATTGCACATTGGAAAACATCGCGAAAAGTTGATTTAGAATAGTATATTTTTGTTTCTGATGAAAGTTCCTTGTAGTACAGTGTATAAAACTTATAAATTTGCTAACAGTTATAACTTTATCAAAAGTGACCAAATCAGTATAATTTTTTTTTATTTAGATGCATGTCTTTATCTATCATTTGGTTTTTTTTTATAAATCTAACCCTTTACCTGCCCACAAGAGGGATTCAAAATAATAACTTTTTTTTTTTTAGTTAAAGTNTAATATATGAATATATACTAATTATAATTATTAAATTTAGTATGAAATTGATATTTAATATTGTAATTTAAACGGAGAAATTATAAAAATAATAAAGAAGTTATATTTTGCTTTACTTTTACGTGTATGAAAATTTAAAGGGCTTGATACAATAATTTTAATAAAAACTGTTTGTTACTATAAATAAATGCACTGGAATACAAGGAACTTTCATCAGAAGCAAAAATATACTTTTCTAAATTAAATTTTCGCGTTGTTTTCAAATCTGCAAGTAGACTTTTTCTATCACTCCTAATTTTTTATATTATTACTAATTATATATAAAATAATAATTAAAAGAAAAAAAAATTTGTTTTCAAATTATTACTGATTTGATTTTTAATATGTTAAAAATAATCAGTCCAAATTTTCATTTTTAACCTATTTTTTTGGTTCTTTAAAGTTGATGAAAAATTTTTGATAAAGATTTATGAAAGTTTATAGTAAAAATAATTGAATATATTACCATAACTTTTAGCTCAATAACAAGTTTAAAATTGACATCTAGGCCAGTCAACAAAGGAAAAATTAGTTAAAAAATTCCCAACCAAATTTTGTTTTATTAATAGTTGAATTAAAATATGTATAATGGCATACTAATAGTCCTCATTGATTGAAATTTAGCTTTTTTTTTACAGCCTCGGAAAAGTTCAAAAATATGAGCTTTTTTAATTTTTTCAACAAATATTTAACTTACAAAAAGAAGTTTCATACATAAGTTGTTTAAAAGACAATTATAAACAAAATTATTTTATATTTCATTTAAACAAATATTTTTCGAGTTACATTACATTTTATATGAGTACTAAAATTTATATTCCATTTTTTTCATTTTACGGTTACTTTTTATCATGTTATACAGTAGACACAATGTTATAAATGCATATGTGTGTATGTGTGAGTTTTTTTATTTATAGTATCATTTAAGTGTAGTGTATATTAATATACAACCGATAGAGTAGGTAATTGATTTGACACTATATTGTTTAAGCCCAACTAAACGCTAAATTGTACATTCCCAAACAACAATCATATAATGTCAATTACCACCGGAATTTCTGGTAATCTTTTTCTTTTTCTTTGCCTTAATCCCAACTATTTGGGGTCGGCCAACCTTATCCTAAGCTTCCACTTGACACGATCTCCCACATCTTCTACGCTCACAACAGCTGTCCTCATGTCGCATTCAATAACATCCCTCAATCTCTTTTTTTGGTCTTCCTCTACCTCTTCTTCCTTCAAAATTCATTTCTATAACTGTTCTTACAGCTTCCAATTCTTCTCTCCTCATAACATGACTAAATAATCTAAGTCTATTTTCTGTTATCTTATCCACGATTGACGCAACACTTATACTTCCTCTTATATGCTCGTTGCTTATCCTATCTTCTCTAGTCAGTTCACTCATCCAACTAAGCATTCTCATCTCTGCTACACTTATTCTCTGCTCTACTTTCTTATCAACCGCCCAACACTATGAACCATACATCATAGCTGGCCTCATAATTTCATACTGAATTTAAAAACTATAATTAGTATTTATTCATATATTATATTTTAAAATCAAAGAACTACTGATCAGGATATAATTAAAGAAATAAGAGTTGATGTTGCTTTTGTAATTATCCACCAATTTCTTAGAATTAAACAATATCTACAGATTTGCATCGAAGCGTTTCTTATGATAGTGATTTTAATCACTGTCAGATATCATCTATACTTGTTCCATCTATGCCTCGTCCACACTGTGCTACCGTTTTTTTTTTTTATGTCTGAAGTGATGGGATCCTTGATATTTATTGAAGTTATTAAATCTAAATGAGATAAAAATCAAATGATTTGAAAACTCAAATAAAATGCAAAATATTAATTGCTACAGGCGGATTCGAACCTCTTGCCCTTAGCGTGAAAAACCCAAGTGTTACCGTTTCAGAAACCGTACGTCGCATTCGTCACTTAATGAAAATGGAAATTTAGCTAGTTCAAATTTAAGTTATTTTTCTCAACTTCAAACATACAAAAATTGAAATATGTTTAACTTTTTATACTATGTCAAGTAGATTTATATAATATTTATGAAAATCAGTGTAATCTCCTTATAATAAAATAAAATACAAAACCAAGAATTTTATCACAAAAATAGCATATTTTTGAAACCAGTTACTATTTTCACCATGAAGACAAAATTAAGTCCGAAATTTTTTTTTTCCATAATACAGTATATTACATTAGCTTTAATTTAAGATATATATAAAAGTGTCAGTATTTCCGGAACACTTTCAAAAATTAAATTGAAAAAGTTAATTTTTTTTGAACCCCCCCTGTATATTAGGAAAATAGTCCGATTTAAAAAAAAAGGATGTCGAATGAAAGAAGAATATAAATATCATTTAGTTTATTAGCTTTAATTTAAGATATATATAAAAGTGTTATACTTTCCGAAAAACTTCAAAGATACAAAAAAATTGAAATATGTTGAACTTTTTATACTATGTCAAGTAGATTTATATAATATACTGGACCGAACTATGCCATGTACCTACTGTGCTAGGTTTTTTAATTCTTTTTGAGTTAAAAAAAAAGGTTTAACTCATTTGATTTTTATCTCATTTAAATTCAATAACTTCAATAAATATCAAGGATTCCGTTACTGTAGTCTCCTCTCGTGAGAAGAAATTCATATTAATATTATTTTACTATGTGGTTTTTTTTCTTGTAGCTATAATTTGTTTACTCAGCTCTCATTTGACCTACTTTTTTGACAATTTTTTTTTTTAATTAAACACTATCTACAAATTTGCATCGAAGCGTTTTTTATGATAGTGATTTTAAACACTGTCAGATATCATCTATACTTGTCTCAACTATGCCACGTCCATACTGTGCCGCGATCCCACTTGGCTACCGTTTTTTTTATTATATTTTTTATTCTATAACTAAAAAATAATAATATATTTATATTAATAACAAAATCATGTGTTTGAATTATTAGACCTCTATCGCCATTCTGTTTTAACTACATGTACCAAAATTAGCTCAGCTCTAGCTTAACCATTGTTCCAAGAACAAAGAAATATTAAATTATTAACGGATTCTTTAATAAATCCGCAACAAACCTATATCTAATGCATTGTACTTTAAGATAAAAAAAGTAAAACTAAGAAATATCGTTTTATAAGTTATCCGATATTAAATAAAAAAAACCATACAATTTTCTGTAAAAAAAACTGATTTTGAATTATTTTGCATAACAACCAAACCCAAACCAATTCTACATAGTTTAAAACCAAATAAAATTATAGCTTATTTAATGTACTACATGACTTAAAAAAGCAGAAAGCCGTTCCAACGACTTTTCTTCTTTGAGTAATACAAGTACAATTTTAAATTATATTAAATTATGATATGTGTTGATTAGCACATTTTACTTAATATTGAGAAAATGGCCTTATATATATTTTGTTTGTCTGTGTTTTCTAATAATTAAATTTCATTTATTATTATTTTTGTAATGACTCGACTTATCTAGAAATTTGAATAATAAATATATTCAACAGAATTTATTAGTATCGTTTATCCACTCATGATTACGTCATGTGTTAAGTTTATCTAAAATCTATAGGTGAAACTCATTATACCCATCACGTGATAATAACATTGAAATAACTATTTAGTATTTATATTATCAAGAAAAATAGCGCCTACATTATTCATCTTTAGAGTAGTTTTTCAGTCATAATTATGATAAATAATTATTGTATTTTATAGAATATTTCATGTTTCTGAATTTTCAATTACTCAGATTTATTATAATACAATTAAGTACATGAATATATTTTTTAATTTTTTTTTATTCAATTTTTATTTTTGCCTTAATAAGTCTATTATAATTTATATATTCATTAATAATAGTATTTATACTTAGTATTTTGCTTGTGTTTAATTAATTACTTATACATTATCATGAGTAAGTATTTAAATTAGTGTATTTGTGTAAACAAGTAAAATAAATACATAAGTTTAAATAACAAACAGTTTTACATGTGAAATTTATTGTAATAATTTATTTATTTTAATTACATTGGTTATATTTACAGGACATGTCATACCTTTAATAGAAAATCTCACTGCTGAGATATTTAAAAATAAATTAACTTAAACTATATAATTATGTTTAACTAGAAAAATAGATCTTTGAGTTAATTTATCCTGAAACGTCAATAAGTATTTTCAGAAAGAGTATGTATCTATTCATGTGTAATTTTTCAGTTTTTAGTAAAAGCATTTATTATAGATTCATTATAAGTCATTTTTTAGTATACTGAATTATCTTAAAATATATTTTAAGATCGAAGTGAGTTTATTGATTTTTAACAATTAATGGAGCTTTTTTAATGATTCTAAAGCAAATAGTTTGAAAAACTTATATTTTTTTTGTTATTTGAATGTTTTATAGTCTCAAATTACTATATCCTAGATTATTTAGGTTTGTATATTATTAATATGTTATTTTGAGATATTTTAGAGTGAAGGAATGGTGTATGAATATTTAATATTGAGTTAAGCGTTATATGCATCTCTTTAAGATTTACTAGTGGAAAAAGAAACTTATCTAAAACGAATCCTGAACTAAATTGGTTTGTAAAATTAAAGTGTCACCCAAAATTACTGAACAACATTTAAAGTTTAATGATTAAAGTACTCTTAACAGGGCCGTATACAGAATATTATTTCAGGAGCAGTCTAAAATATGTTTACATATATAGTGTGTTTGGTTGAGTTTATATATATGTATATTTACAAAAAAATTAGGGCGTGGAAAGTATGGTTTTTTCTGTTTTAAAATATCAAATATTAGAAATGTATATATGGCTTGATGTAGAAAAGTCAATTTTTTATTATAGTTCAAAATTCTCGTCATAAACATATTAGAGAAGGCTAAGAAAGCTTATCCAACAAAATTTAGAAAAATATAATGATTTTAATCAGAATTTAATGAACTAGTAGTTTTTTTGTTAAAGTAAAAATTATTAAAACTTTTTTTGTTATTTTAAGTTACATGATTTTTTAAATTTATCTATTACAAAGTATTTTTTATATTTATCCATTATATCTTTTAATGTTATCAACTTTACTTTTTCAAATGCCAACATATATAATGAACTTCCTTATTTATTAGATATTAATCTAATTATGATTATGAATGGACTTTTTTTTTTTATGTTATTAACATTCTTATACCTAGTTGGAAAGAGAAGCATAGCGCAGAAATGTCTAGTGAATGAAATAGCAGTTTATAAGGCATATTAATTACTGAGTTTTCAAATAATTTTAACTGTATTATTGTATATCTATTAATTCTAACTTTTAATTGAAATACTGGTTCTTCAGTACCAGTAAGTAAATATTCTTCATTAGACCATTATTTATTAATTTATTTATTAATTAAGTCCCTACGAGACTCACTCAAATTCATACATAAACCTCTTTGGGTTGTCCTCATAAGTAAGCCACTGATTCCAGTAAGAGTATGTGTCTACACCATGTACGATAAGTGTTTTACAGGAAAAATATTTCATTAAAATCAGTGAATAGGATAAAAAAAAAGTTCACAGCGAAAAAAATTACATTTGAATAGAAAACTGATTATAAAGCCAAAGTTCAAACAAGAGATATATATTGTATTAAACTTGATTATAACAACAAATTAAAAATTAAATTTACAAACACTGATACTCATACATTTGTTGACATCACTTATAACTTTTTTTCATGTTGTATAATAATAATTATATCATCTAATTAAATATGATTATTGTCCTATTTGTTAATATTTATAAATTAAACAATAGGTTGTAAAAAAAATAATGGACCTGGATATAAAACCCCTTTAGACGCTTTTTCCAATGGAAAAAAAGAAGTAATTTTGTACACTGTTTGTATAAATCCAAATCCAGAAGTTACCAATAAACCAGATTATTTAGCTACTGTCGATGTTGATCCAAAAAGTTCTACATACTCCCAGGTATCAGGAATATAAATTTATCATAATTTTTCATTTAATTAGATGTTTCATTGCATTGCATTTCTTTAAAACTGCCAGTTTTGTTGTAAATTAATTATTTTATGCCCAAGTGTATTTATTTTGAATTTAACATTGCATCTGATATTTTAGGTAATACACAGAACTTATGTTGGAAAAATTGGAGATGAATTGCATCATTTTGGTTGGAATAGTTGTAGTAGTTGCTTTGGGGATTGTTCAAAAAAACGAAATAAAATTATTTTGCCTGCATTAGGATCTGACCGAATATATATTTTAGATGTTACTGATGAACGAATGCCTAAATTATATAAAGTATCTATAAAAAAATAAAAATAAATATANTATTTTTTTTGTGTGTCTGTGAACGCTCAATCTCAGCTCTCACTGGACTGATTTTGATGAACAATATGTAAAAAGATCACAAATCGTATATAGTCGAAGACATTACCCTCAAAAATTCCCTAGTTCCTCGCAAATGGGGGAAATCCCTCAAAAAATTACAAATTTAAAAATCGCTAATTTTCTATATTTTTTCATTTTTTTTTTACTTAAAATTGCCCTAACTTTTTTAAAAATGACCGAATAAATATAATTTTTTTTTTATAGATACCTTAAATATTTACCTATCATTTTATATATATTTTTTTATAAATCTAACCCTTTACCTGCCCACAAGAGGGATTCAAAATAATAACTTTTTTTTTTTTAGTTAAAGTAAATCATAAAAATTAATTCAGTTCTAGATATTTCAATTGTAGAATTTTTTTAAATACCAAAAATTACTTAGAAATGATTACTATAATTTCTATTTAAGTGTTCTATTACGATAAAAATTCAAAAAAATAATGATTTTTCTGATACAATATACTGTAAATAGTAATTATAAAATTTCCTGACTGCATATTAATCTTAAAAATAAGATTGTTTTAATTCTCATAAAATTTTCTATTTAATGATTCATTGTAGTCAACGAAGGAGTAATTTTGGCGAATAGCAGAAAAAATTCCCAACCAAATTTTTTTTTTTTTTAAAGTAGGAAATTGGTGGATTATTCCAAAAGCAACATCAACTCTTATTTCTTTAATTATATCCTGATTAGTAGTTCTTTGATTTTAAAATATAATATATGAATAAATATTAATTATAGTTTTTAAATTTAGTATGAAATTGATATTCAATAATTTAATATTGTAAACATTAAAAAGAAAAAACTTCAAAAACTGTACACAATAAACGAGACATTCTATTAGCTATGGGAAGCATTTTTTTTGATAGTTCTGAAACTGGCAACTACATCTGAAACAGTTTCTACTTCTTTACATTGGTCGTAAAGTAGTTCTAACTCAACCTGTAAATGTAATGGATCTACAATAAATTGTTTGGGTAAAAATTTTATTGCATCTTGATTTCCAATTTCTGTTAAGTTGTTCCTTGATAATGGGGGGTTGAACAGATTATATAATGGTTTAATTGTACCAATGCAACTTTCCAAATGATTTTTCATCAGTGACATGAGCTCATCCAACATAGATTTATATTCTTTTTTATAAAATATTTTAAATGACATATTAGCTGCATTATCTCTATTATTATCAAGGCGCTTAGGTACAAGTCGGCGTCTATGACGAACTGTAAACTCTTTTTCAGCATCCACATCAAAAGACTTCAAAAACTCAATTGAAATATTTATAAGGTTATCCATACCATCTACATCAGAATTAATAATGTTTAATGATTCTAGAGTACTTGACATGAATATGATTGCAACAGCTATGTTAAGTTCAGTTGATTCGAGGCACTCAGTTAACAACTTCATCTTATACAAAAAAATTTTCATAAATAGAATACTTACAACAAAGTCTACAAAAATTAAACGTTTTGATAAAGAATACGCTGCATTTCTGGTGGATTTATCGAATTTGTCCTTGGTATTTGTTATCTCATCTAAAACTTGACCAAACAGATTTAATTGCCTCAACACGTGTTGTCCATCTTGTCTTTGACAAATTTCTGAGTTTCAATGCAGTTTCAATATCAGCTAGTTTGTTCAGTAATGGAGAATATCGTTTTGTACATAAACTTCTTGCATTACTGAAAGCATATCAGATATTATAAGACTAGCTTCACATCCATGTTCAATGAATGTGTTCATTCTATGAGCTTGACATGGAATATAAGGTATTTTTCTACCTAATATTTCAGTTTTTGTTGTGCACCATTAAATACTTCAGACATACTGCTGACGAAATCATATGACTGAAAAACAAGATTATCAGAATCTAACTCATTCTTTTGTAGTGTGTCTAATATGTCATTTGCCATTCCTACACCAGTATTATTTAAAGCTTCGCGGACTTTTATTAATCTGTCTTCTGCTGTACCTTCATTATTGATGAACCTTACAACTACTGATAGCCTATCTACATGTCACAAAACCCAACCCAACAAATCAGGCGTAGTATCAGCCATTATAGAAAACTGCCCGGATTCCCTAACTTTTGCTTTAATAGTTTTGTTTACTGATGACGCAAGGATAGTTATGAACTCGTTTTGAGATTGGGGGCTCAAATATGTAGAATGATATGGCCGATAACAAGAATCATTAAGCCATTTTTTTAACAAGGGACAGTGTCTAGAAAGTAAATAATTAATTTGCCTAAAGTTACCATTTTCATCATCATCTTTTCCTCTGAATGCTAAACCTGGTCTAGCGAGGGTTTTGGTTACATCCAGTAAGATACAAATTACTTCTTTGTGAAAATTTTGATTGCTCTCTTCCTGAATTTTTCGCTCACGTACTGTTTGTCGAGCATAATATCAATGTTATTCGATTTTTTCATGTAATTACAATAATCAGTCAATGCAGAATTGTGCGCTTCAGAAGTGAAATGTTTCTGTAATTTTTCAATTTTATTTACACCCTTTTGAAGCCTTTCAATTTTTTCCATCCAGTTACACCGATTTTGTTCTAATATCCCTTACTTTTTTGACGACCAGCCACATCAGGAAATAAACTGCAAACAAAACAGTAAGCTGCATCTTTTGCTTTACTATATTCCAAGTGTGGTTATTCAATATACCAAGATGGATTAAAACGATGTGCTTCTCGCTTTGGGTTAATATTTAATTTTGGTTGATGTGGGCCTAGCATGATTAGGTATTGTCTTTGATTATCTGATGTTATTTTAGTTCTGAGTCCTGGATCATGATGTACTTTATTACTCACAGTATCTTTTTCGGTAAAATTTTCTGAAATTGTATCTATTTGTGTCATTAAGACATTGCATTTGTCCATTATGGAAGAGGAAGTTTTAAGGATGTGTGTTATAGCATCTTTAACTTCAATTACAAACTTGTAACTATTTACAACTTCATCTTCATGAAGTTTTTGAATTATTGGTTTACACATATCTATATAATCAATTAAATTTTTAAACTGACCAGCACAACCAAAGACGTTTCTTGTTAAATCTGAATATTCTAAATTTGTTTCTAAACTTTAATTAGTGCAATCACAATGATTAAGTTCATTAATGACTTTTAATTCGATCTCAATTCTTTCACTCTCTTTTTGAGTTGCATTGGTTTCCATAAATTCAATTTCAGAAACATGTGCATTGTAACTAGCCTTAATAGCAGATATTGGTGACTGGACATCGGAGGTTGGACTAAATTTTGAGTTAACCTTACAAAATTATTCATCAGTTACCTATTTTACAAAATAAACTATATTTGCTTTTTAAATGGTTAATAATATTTTAGATTCGGTGGAAAACTAGGACTAGTTTTAGAACTAAGCTTAGATTTTAATAACTATGGGTGTGAAGTTATTGTATTAAACTTGTTAAATATTATTAATAACCAACATGACAATTTATAATATTTAATCTAATTTTTTTCTAAGCTCAAAGAATGAGTTAAGAAATAACTATATTTTAATTGTGACTTTATATGCAAACATTTTCCAATAAACTTGATGAAGCCACTTGTAAATTCTTATTAGAAGCTTTAAGTGCAGCTACAAATGGATTCTTAGGAGCCCCTGGTTCCTTAACTCTAATACGTTTTCCATTGTGACAAGCCGTTTCATGTCTGGTCTTAAATTCGTTGTCAAATATACTTCCACAACTTTCACATTGCACTTTTCTACGTTTACCCATATTTAAACTTTGGATTTAGGCAGTCAAAATGCCTTAAAAGTTCAAATTTATTAGTAAATTAAACATTTTTAGACTACTATTAAAGACAACAAAGATTACATAAATTTGTTTAGAGTAAAATTGTTTAATTTACATAAAATTAGAAATTTTTTTAATGTATCATTTACTTAAGTACTTATTTGGATTGGGGTACATTTTTCCGTATTTATATTTCCGCAATCCTGAATTCTGCATGACCATTTTTCCGCACGGACATTTTTTATGCATATAACAAATAAAAAAATAAATTAAAATAAACTCAATTTTTTTATTTTCGAGTTACCATGACAACTAGATTACCGCATTTAACAAGACCGTTTGTGATGATCCGTTTTTGTTATTTATTGACATTTCGATATTTTTCGCGTATAAAACTTAAAATTTCTAGTAAATTATGATCGCAGGAATTGTCAGAAACTTCCTTTTTCTCGATGAATACGTTTACTATCACTTGTGATATTGTGATTCTCGCCGACATTGGGAATGTCGAAGAGTGCGTTCAAAGAAGTGCAAGACTCGAGCGATAACAAATATACTAGAGCAAGATGCGAAAATAATCGTGTTTAAAGGGACTATGGCGAGTTTTCGAATCGTACGAGGAACATGTTGAAGATAGTACGGAGGACAGGTATTTGTCGAATTTGGCTCATAATATTTACTTGTGAAGGTTATTCGGAAAGTTATTTGCTAAAATTTTTGGAAGCTTGTACATACGAAAAAAATGTTGATTGAAATGAAAATATAATGAGATTTTAATAGAATTAACGTTTTTTTATTTGCGGAAGCTTGTATATGCGTTAAAATGTCCGGATACCTATAATTTTGCATAAATTTAATTTATAGATTAAAAACTTTTCTTAATTTAGATTACTAAATGAAAACTCTTACTTCTATAATTCATTTCGTTTAATTAGGTATACTTGATTAAGTATGATGTTGTCACTAGTTTCAGAGTACGGTAGAAAGAAAAATAAAATAATTTTAAAACACAGTTGTCAGTTGATAATAAATTTTTTAAAATAAAAACAAATTCTAAAAATACTGGGAGTGATCAGCACTTCCAGTGGTTCTATGGGTAGTTGGTGTAATAATTTAGCGGCGTATGCTGACAAA